TCCTCAAGCTCTCTCTCAAGAAGACTAAACATCAAAAGTTATCTCAAAAGAATATCTGAAACCTTTAAATAGCGAGCTTGAAAAAATTCTAAATTTCAAGCCATCTGACTTATGTTCATATAGTATGATACACGTATGGTACGGTATGATCAGTTCAATTCAAACTTATCCAGCAAGATCTTTTAAATGAAATGTTCAAAATTTATAATACATCATACAGTATGATCAAACATTGTACGGTACGATATACAGAAATTACTTCTGTTCATTTAGGATGATCCTTGGGAAGGCCAACTTCGTTCACGAGTGATCATCCATCATTATGAACATCGTATAGTATGATCATTATAAAAATCATGGATTTTCTTTGGTATGATCCAAATATGACCAATTTCATACACGGGTAATCATACAATATGAAATATTTCATATAGTATGATCAATCATAATAATTATCCATGATTTGATTGCCTGATATTGTGAGATTAATTAAGAAAGATTTTAATTATGTCGTACAGTACGATCCAAATAGTATAGTACGATATGTACAAAACTAATATCTTTCTTAACCTTTGCTAGATAGGGTTTTGATAGAGCACAAAAGTTTGAATAATACAAATTAAAATCATACAGTACGAGATACTTCATACAGTATGAATACTTTGTACAGTATGAAACCAATTTTATACAATACGAATTACCAAAAAAATAACTCTCTCAAAAACATTTTCATCTCTCCCCCTATGTGCGTGCTAGGTTACTCAGCAAAGTCATCCACCCAATTATATGACATGACTCAAGAAAAGAGAAAATACAGAAAAATTAAAATCGACTATAACTCTAATCTACCTTGTGTTGAGCTGATCAGAATTACAAGTGAATGGTGAACTTATTTCCTGAAATATTAGTATGCATAAACATAAAATAAAATATCATAGAAATAAGAGAAAGCAATAACATAGATAATAACATTTGATATCATCAAAATTACAGTGCTTGAATACAGTCTGCAATAGTGTAAAGTGGACAATAACGAGTGTGATAGGGTGAGAGCTGATATGAGAGGGGATCGACACTTCCATGTTGGTTAACGTGGCTGATGATTGGTTTGAAATCTCAAAGATCACCTAAAAAGAGATAAGCGAGTGAGATATTGTTATAGGAAAGGAGAGCTTTAGCCCGAATGGTTGGGGCAAGTCGAACTAAGGGTCTCATGAATAAACACCTTCATGTAGCCGAGTTTGATGAAAATATTCACCCTGGGAGTGAGCGGGTGATTGAAATGTGGTTTTGGTATGTGGTGAGTGCTGAGTTACCAACTCTAAAGAGAAATCCTTAATTTTCCCCTAGTAAAGAGAGCTCTTGGGAAGGCCTTAGCAATTGACGCGTGTTGGTCGTTACACGAGAGTTCACTTGTGAGTTCCGACTGACTTCCCCAATAAAACTTTCTAAGGGTTTTGGGTTATCATGGTGGAATGAGACAAAATTAGCATAGATAATTCTTCAAATAAGGAAAGAACAATTTACTTTTTTGAGTCAATGAGTTTGCATTGTTTGGATAAAATTAAAAATTGAATCGAATTGATTTTATTTTTTAAGTTTGATTTGATTTTTAAAATATAAATATTTATTATGATTTTGACTTTCTTAAAAAATTTTATTATTAATACAAATTTTTAACACAATGTATTAAAGGATTCGTATCATGATTATTCGACAAATTTTATGCTAACTATCAACTACCTAATGCAACCCTTCATTTTTCTCATCAAGGAATTGAGACCACAACGGGCCGCCACAAAGTTAAGGAAAAATTCTATAAGATGGTGGTCAGACCTGCAATGTTTTATGGTTTAGAATGTTGGCCATTAAAAGAGAAGCATAATATTAAGTTAAATGTTGTGGAGATGAGGACGCTCATGTGGATAAGTGGTTTTACTCTTAGAGACATGGTATGAAATGAGCTTATACATGCAAAGGTTGGACTAGCTCCAGGGGAAGAAAAGATTAGAGAGAGACAACTTCGATGGTTTGGCCACATAAAATAAAGACCTTCCAATGACCTAGTTAGGAGAGTAGATGTATTAAATTTGTCTTATGTTAAGAAAAGTAGAGGTAGACCTAAAAAATTGGTTAGAAAATATTAAAAATGACATTTTTTTGTTAGATTTAAATGAGAATTTGAACATTAACATGACACAAAGAAGAAAAAGAATTCACTGACCCTACATACTGAGATAAAGGTTTGATGTTGCATTAATACAATTTTTTATTTATGGAAAATCAATCAAAACATCAAATTAACTATATCAGTTTATTCAAAAATCAAATTGATACATACTCCAAAAATTATCTTGATCGGGCACGAATCTCGAGGCAAAAGCTAGTTGGAAACTTCAAAAATTAATTTTGGGAGCCCCCGAACTCCGATTTCAGCAAGCTTATAGTCAAATTGAGCGTCTCGGAAATACGAACCCAACGACACCAAGATCAACCCAATCTGAGCCCAAATGAGTCCGAATCAAGGGCTCAAAGCGCTATTGGAAGGTTTAAACCGCAATTTGAGTTACAGTCTCCGATTTTGAAGAGCTTATACTCGAATCGAACGGCTCGACGAGATGAATCCAACGAACCCAAGATCGCCGACTTCCGACATCATTAAGGCCTTCAAATGCCCAACGAATGGTGCATGATCAAAGGATTCGATATCGGCCGTCCATTCAAAACACTCCCAATTCGCCCCTGATCTCACGCCTATTTACGTGCTATACCACTCCAGAAAAACTATAAATAGAGCCCTCATTCTACACTAAAGGGACTCAAGTGAAGAGAGAGAAGAAGAAGGAAAATGGGAAAAGGAGAATTCCCTCTTCCTCGACCACCGCCGGAGCTCTTCCTGCCGTCCGAACACGCCGGTATTCTGCGTGATATTAGGGAGAACGCAGGAATTCTTCCCAACTTCCACGTGGTGCTGAAATTCTTCACAACTTGCAACAGAGTTTCCTTCTGACGCCGAAACTCGCCCAAGTGAAGCTGGAGTTCTCTTTTGCCACCAATAGACGTCGGACTTCTACCCAACGTCGAACCTTCACTCTTCGCCAAGTTTCTACCTGACGTAGAACTTCTACCGGTTATAGGACTTCGCTAGACGTCTACGCGAAGATGGATTTCTTTCCATTGTTGGACTTCTACCTGACGCTGTCCTTCTAATCTTCGTCGTCAGGCTACAGTCCTTCCGACTTCCATCGCCAACCGACTACGGTCCTCCTGACGTCCGTCGCCCACCGACTACAAGTCTTCCGACCTCCGTCGCCCGCCGACTACGGTCCTCCTGACTTATGTCGCCCGCAGACTACAATATTTCCAACCTCTGTTGCCCGCCGACTACTGTGCTCCTGACTTATGTCGCCCGCCGACTACAGTTCTTCCGACCTCCGTCGCCAACCGACTACGGTCCTCCTGACATCCGTCGCCCACCGACTACAAGTCTTCCGACCTCCGTCGCCCTCCGACTACTGTTGAAATAGAGAAAGAGGCAGTAATGACTTTTCATAGTTTGACATAGAGTTGTAGGGCTATTTAATGATTTATTATTTAAAATATTTAATTATTTAAATCATAATTAAATATGATTTTATTAAAAAATTTATTTGTTAACTAACTATTCTTTATCTAATAATAATTATTAAATATTAAATTATCATCCATTTATTTATTTATTTTTGCACTGCTAATAATCTAATTAATTAAGGTGAATGGTACATTTTGCTTTTTCTCTCTCTTTTTGCGCAATCGAAATGTTGCGGCCGCGCACTTATGACTTAGTACGAGAGATCTTTTCTAAAGGATTTAGCTAAAGCTAAAACTGAAAGCAAAAAGGGCTTAAATCTAATTGTTTTGGTGGCTTAATAGAGCAACAAGTTCGTCAACGAGAAAACATGCTCTAATTTGTATAACTCTTACTTTTAAAGTTATTTATTAATCCATAAAAGTCACAAACATTTTTTTCTGAACACATGAAAAGCATCAATGGTTCATTTTCCCCTTTACTTCTCTCTCACGACTCACGAGTCACGACCTCGAGCACTGCTTTAGTTTTCCCTTTCGCTCTCTCTCACCCCCAAATAAAGACCGTATGTGGCATATGTTTATGCCTTATAAGCTCAAAGGTTCATGTTATTTGCATTATTAATTTTGATTTTACAGCTCCTCTTAGCTCCGGTAACGAGAGACAAACAGAACTATTTTAATATATTCTAACATTCCAAATGAGACGACAAGCATAACTATTTTAATTTAGACATGTTGCGGGCTAGAATATACGCGGCGATAGAATTGTAATTCTACATCTTAGCGTTGCACGAATATCCAACTTACACACATAGAACACAAGAATTTTTACGTGGAAAACCTTGGAAAATGGGGAAAACCATGCGGCCTAGCACAGTTGAAAAGATTTTGTATCGAGATTCGTATCCGATGAAGATAATTTTTGATGATATATCAAGGCCCCTCCTGAACATAATTTCTGGCTCCGCCACTGTTTGACGCGAATTCGTTCCTCCCCGCGAGCCCATATTCGAAGCACCTCAACTTCCAAAAAAGAAAAAAAATTATTAATTTTCGATTAGTTTAGAATTGAGTTGAACCGATTCAACTTAGAAAATATTTAACTAATTTATAAATCAAATAAATTAAATCGAAATTACGAATAAAGAGAGGATATTTTTGTGGGACAAAGTGTTCTATTTTGCTAAAAAACAATAGCGGTTATGTGTTAGTGACAAAACGACGCTCGGCCGTCCTTCGCGAAGAATCTTGCAGGATGGGCAATAACAGCTTAAAGTGGGCCCCACAAGCAAAAGCGACCTCCAGCTTCAGGTAGATGGCTTCGGCTCTAACGTGCTCCGGTTGGACACGTGCGAATCGGGGCCAAGCCACAGTTACACGTGCGAACACATCCGGATGCCTGAGCTGTAAGTTCTGCCTGTTTCCGAATTCTTTATTTACGTTTTTCTTGGGAAGGGACGGCTTTTGACAGGGGAAGAAACAAGGGAGAGAGAATCACAAGAAAAGGGGAACAACACCCTCAGCTCTTTGCTCTCCCTCTCCTTACCTCTCTCTCTCTCTCTCTCCTCTGGATCTTCTTCGTTTTCCTCCTCTTGCGCCTTCTTTTCTCTCAAATTGGCTGGAGATCCTGCGAACTGTCTGCCGATTGGGTGTAGTAATCTTAGTTTCTAATGGAGCAGCTTGTAAATTTCATTATCCGTCCCCCGAGGTATGAGTATTGGGCTTTTTTATTGTTTCCTATTTTGCACTTTGTGTTCTTCTTCTACCCCTTTGTTTATTCTCTTATGTTTTATGCCTTGGTTGATCCTGTGAGGATTGTTCAATATATGAGCCTTGTTTCCTCCTACATAACCGGTTCTTAAAATGTCTTATTTTATTGTTTGTGGGGTAGGTCGGTTTTGGTTGGCTTTGTGTATATTGGACTGGTTTAGGGTGTAAAGCTTGATGAGATTTCCTGATTAGGAATACCGAAATTGAGTAGGAATCCGCGTAAGTCATCGTATGGGTAGAGTGTGGGACCGTAGAAGTGGTTCAGTCATAGCAAGTAGCTTTGAAAGAATCACAATAGCGAAGTTGGTGAAACTTGAAAACAAAAGGGACAGGGCCGTATTCATGCCTCAAGAAGAACTGAGCATACAGTTAGACATTTAGAATCCTCTCTCGCCAACTGTTTTTTTGTCTCCCTTCTTTAATGTAATATCTTTATTTCAGCTATGAAACATTTTTCCAAACAAAATCCCATGGATGATTAAGATTTGTATCACTTACCATATAGTGGCTATAATGAATATGCATAAGTAATTTAAATATGTTTAGTGGCGGAACCAGAAATTTCTTATATAAGGGCCTGAATTAATTTCTTAAAAAATTTATCTCAAAATTTTTTTTTTCATCTGTAGTTGGGACCGGCATTGACATTTTTTTCCATAACTCTTTTGCGAAATTAAAATACTTAGAACATGTAGAATTGGCAACCAAATTACAGTTCACTTCACTAATCATTTGCATGAAAATTGATTCTTAATTCTTAAAATAAATTCATGAAAGTATTAAAAGATGATTGATTTTGGTTAGTGAACATAATGATATCATCAATCAATATTAAATAGAATAGCAACATTTCACAATACAAATTGGATCTCATGAAGGATAACACTAAAAAAGACAATGAAAATACTATTAAAATAAATAAAGATGCTTGGTTACAAATTAGTTCCCACTTCTATGAATCCAATAATAAAAATGCGACAAAAGAGGGAGGTCCTCTTGTAGATGAAGGTTGATACAAAAATTTGGTTGGGAAGCTCATTTACCTCTGTCACAATTAGAAGATAGCATATACACTTATAGCTTCATCACTTATGAAAATTGCCAAAATTAAGAAACTTAAAAGGTAGAAGATACACCAAAACAAACTTACAGGCATAAGAGCCTTACACATTCTGAAAATAAAAGGTAAACCAGTAAGGCAATAAAATGAGTTTAGAAAAAAAAATTACATAATTTAAAACTATAGGTTTTATAATTGAAAGAAAAAGAACTTAACATAAGCAAAATGCTTGTTTAAGAACGCGATAGGCACAACGACTTCAATTTTCCAACATGTCCTGTAGTGTCAAAGCAGTTTCCTTGCCAGGAAACAAAGCCGACCTCACCCTATGGAAATCCCATGCGACAACGACGACTCTTGTAAAGTGCGAAGAGGAGTTTAGCAACACTCTTGGTCTGTAGTGCTTTGGCTTTTGAAGAAGGTGACAGGCACAGTGGCTTCGAAGAGCGCAAATAAGCTTCCTTTAGCAATTATTTCAAAATACGACAGAGGTGAAAGATCGCTACCTTCATTGGTGAATGAGGCTACGAACCATTGCTGCAAGCTCCCGTTCTAAGGTTTGATCAAAAGAGGCGACATGCAAATTAGAATGGTCAAGGTTCAAGCAGATTGATAGCTATTTATTTTATATGTTGTCTCTTAATGTTTTTAACAAATAGACAATTTGTATTCTATTTTATTAGCATTGCTTGCATCATTGTGCAGTGTAAGTACAGACATGCAAATGTATACAAGGGTGTATTGTGAGTTCCTCAAGCACAATAGAAGGATCATTTATGAAAAAGAAGCAAGGTGGCATCAAGAGAATTCAAGCAAAAATCAAGGCAAGGGTGGCCAACGTAGGGCTTGAAATTCAAATGATGGTAGTTTTACATGGATTACTCATACAACTCATCCCCACAACAAGGAGATGTCTAATGATGCTTCAAAATCATACTCCTACATCCATGGTGCCATATCGCTCCACTCCCCACAAGGCATAGGCTGACCTTGCCACCTCATTTTATAACCACACACACTCCCTACATTCAAGTAGTTATCTCTTGCATACAAGGGTTTTTTAATTTGAGTTTCCATTATGTAAGAGGGAGTATATGATATAATAGGGATGTGAATTGAAGTTTAATTATTATTGGAATGAAAATTTAGTTGTGCCTTCAAGAACTTTTACCTCTCCTTAGCTTGGTCATTGTGAGCACCAGTTGTTTGGGATAAGGTTAATTTAATTGCTACCATTGTTATGCACTTTAAGTCTCAATCCATTCCATCTTCCTCATATCTATAACCTATTAACATCCTCTCTAGCCTTCTTTCCACAGTGTAAAAGAAAATCCTAAAAATAACACCTCTCGGTTTGCCCTCTTCAATCAAACCTTAGCTCAACCCCATTGTCTCCTTAAGACTCTACACTTATCAACTCCATCTACCAATCTCCAGAAGTATTCTAAGCCCTTCCTCCTATCCCTTGAGAACAAATAGCTATGAGAACCTTCCTTTTTTTCATCCACAAAATTCTGTTTTAAGGACTTATTATGGTGTTCCACTTGTTCTATCTCCACAAATACCTTATTCTACATATCTCCAATACGTCCTTCTAACTCTAAAAACACCCTAATCCCTTACCATCTTCATTAACCTCTTTATCCACATTTTAACAACCTTGGCCAACATCTTGAAGGCTTCCACAAGGAATATAGCTTTTTTTTTTTGGGCAAATGACTATTTGTAATGCTTTCTGTTATTGGATAGGCATAATGAAACGTTATTTAATTTTTTTCATGAATATCAAGAGTTTTGAAAACTTATGACTTCTACGTGCTAGGATTTATAAATTATGCATTTTTCAGATGATACAATGAAAATTTCTGTCTTTTAATTTAGAGTCCCTCTCATAGTCTTTTCTAGATTTTTGTTTCTTTTCTTAGCTTGTTATTCTTGTACAGAGTTTAACTATTTCTTCTTTGACCAACCACAGAGCTGATTATAATCCAAAAAATGATTTGCTGGATCAAGAATTCATGTTGAAAGGGAGATGGTTCATGAGAAAGGACTTGGAGGTAATAATAATGTCTCTTCATGAAGCTTGTTGATTATTTTTAAAGTGGGAGGTTGGGAATTGCTTTTCTAACAACATTAATTGCTTAGTATCTCAAATGCATCGTGTGAATTATTAGTTTTTTCTGAGTCATTTTATAGTTACTTTCTTTGTGTTTTTCTCTTATATTAAAATTGATTAAGGAGTGTGATTTAGATCCGCATCTATGTCAGATGGTGACTTTGTTGCATACATTTTTTTTTCTTGTGAAATGTAATATATGGCTTGTTTATCAACATGAATTCAACTATAACGAGGAATGGGTGGTGTGTCATCTATTGTCATGGTCTAGATGTGAATGAAGGTGCAAGTTTGGCAATTTGAATATGATAAAAGAACTTAACATTAACTTGCTAGTTACATCCCTGGAGTTAAGGCAAAATGAAACAATTTTGTATTCCAAAGTAAGATTCACATATAGAAATAAATAAAAATTTATAACAATAAAATATATAAAATGTAATTTTTTGAATTAATGAAAATACTAACACTCTATCATCAGGAGAAATTAAAACATCAAATCAATGAAAAAAAAAAGATAATTACCACAAATAATTGAAATTAAACAAAGGCCATGTTAAAATAAATAAGCTCCTATTGAAATAATAATACCTGAATTCAAAGAATATATATTGTTAACAAATTTACTCCTAGCCTAATAGTTTTCGAATCAATCCAATAGGTTATATTTGGAAGTAAAATGGGTGTAAAGTATTCCAAATGCAAGGGTTTTGAAAATGTTGGTGTTTGGTTGGTGAAAAAGGGATGCAAAGTAAAGTAATAACAATTATTCTAAATTAATTACACATACATATGGTTTGAGTTACATTAGTTAAGATTTTTGTTAAAATACATAGGAATGTGAGAAATAAAAACTATAGAGATAATTTCCTTGATCTATGATTATGGCATAAACCGTTCTAGGTTAAATTAATTTAAGTAAGAAATCTGAATTATAAAATTTTTGTTAAAACGGTTTAGTGAAAATTTAAATGAATATATAATCAACCCAACTATTATGATTAAAACAGTTTCTAGTTGAAATTTGATTGAATTAATCAAGATCAAATTATCATTGTGTTTTAGTACTCTATTAATTGATGAAAATAATATAAAGGAAATGAATGATTTTAGGACATTTAGGGCCATGAAGTGAACAATGATGACCTTATATAACAATAGTTGTATTGCCGAAGGGAGGAAGAATCCAAGACTATTACAACATAGATCCATGAGGGACTTTTGCGATGTTCACCAGTCTAGCCCCAAAATAACAACTAAAATTAAATGAATACACAAATATTATCCAAACATGGTTCAAGGTTGCATTAACCACATTGCAAAGTGTCATGAGTGTCAAATAAATGTTAACATAATTTATTGTCACTAATTTGGTCCATCGAAAGTTGGGGTACCGACACTGTAGGTTCTATTGGCTCATCATTGTTAGTTGACTAGAATTTCATCCTAGCAGCATGGTTAACCAAGTATTTGTTCAACACTTTAGTGGTTTCTTTGGCTAAGGCTTTCAATTCTACTCATTTTGTGAAGTAATCGACCAGTGCCAATAGGAACCTTATTCAAACACTAATCTTAGGAGGGGCGTTAACAATGTTAATCCTTTGCATCACAAGCAACTTGAGATTGGTGATCCACCAGAACTCTTGAACCTATCAGTGAAGAATCGTAGAATGGGACTTGAGATTGGTGATCCACCAGAGCTCTTGAACCTATCAGTGAAGAATCGTAGAATGGGCTTTGCATGCTCTACGTGATTTAGCAAATTTGATTATGATCTTGGATGTTAGCCAGAAGAAACACTATCAAAATATATTGTTTGGCCGGACTTATCATCAAATGGATTTTGCACTCCCCATGATGGATATCTTCCAGCGTTTGTGCTTTGGTTGTTACCAGGCATAGAAGAAAAAAATTTGGTGAAACTGTTCTTGAAAGTACTCCATTTTAGTTAAAATCACCTAGCTACTTGGTACCTAATTGACCGGACATTCTTGCACCTACTTGTAGTACCTCATTGTTTAGATAAAGCTCTACCTCATCCACCCATCTCGGGGTTTCATCTGAATATGGCTTTTGGCTCCTTGTTAGATGGAACTAAACCTTTTAATGAGGTGGCATGAGGGCTACCATATTTGTCAAATAAATATTCTTTTTGGTTCTCTTCCTCAGGCACATGCTTCACCTTGAGATAGTCAGACCTTGCTATTGATGCTATGACTTCTCTAGTTACTTCTTTTAAAATGGGTCTAGTACTTCATATGATCCAATAATATGATTCCCCATCAGTTGTGAGCGGCGTGGAGTACTAACTCCTTACTCCAATTTTGGCCACCAGCCTCAGTTCAATAAGCAAAACTTTGTACCCCATTTGATTGTCAGTTTCATTAAAACTAAGTTGAATGAAAGTATAGCACAAAACTCCATTGCTATTCTTCCGCGAGGCTCCATCAATAAACACATTCAGGATCCTTTATTCTTTCGGTTGGTCTTGGGGAATCATGTTAAATTGATTGCTCTTAATGAACCACTAATATAGGTGTATGGGCTGGTCAATCACCATTTTGATGGGATGTACTTGGAAGGAGGCCCTCAATCTCCAGGCAAAAAATGTTCAGGGCTAGCACCAATTTCTTAGAGGGCATCTTTACACTGAACCATTGAGGGTGTGATTAACATTGAACACAACCTACTACTGCCTCCTCTTGCTTAAGGACATAGTTGCCCCCATGTTGTGGTATCCCAAGTATGGAATAACATCTTTAGTTGAGGGCTCACGAGAATGGGTGATGATTTTTAGAGTTGCTTAGCTTCAGTGAAAGCCTCCTCATACTTGGTCATTCACTCAAATTTATTTTAGTTTTTGTAACTTTAAAGAGTTCTTTGTTTCGCTTTCTCAAGCGCAAGATAAATCAACGTAGTTTGACAAGTTGATTAGTTAGCTGCAAGGCACCCTTGACTAAACATGGTGATGCAGCCTCTAGACCATTTATACATTGTCATAATTTGGAGATATATTGGCCGACGTAATCATTATTCCTAAGAATTTGTTTGAATTTGTGCCAAACAAGCTCCTGGAATGATTCAATTTCATATTATACCTCTTTAATGTTACAAATGTCTCTTATAAGTCTTCATATTTGGTCAACGACTTGCTCTTTATAAACAAGCCGTTGACTTAAATCTTAATTCCCTTTCTTTCTATTGTTGGAAGATATTATCTACAGCCATTGGTATGTGGTGCCTACATTCTTCAAATCGAATGATCACACCATGTAACAAGAAGTCCCTTCATTAATAATAACCGTGGTGTTTTTCTCATCGTTGGATGATCCATATTTGGTGGTAGCCTGAGAAGTCGTTTAACAAACTAAAGAACTTTTGAGTACTGAGTCCACCTATATATCCATCCTTACCAATAAGTACGAGTTACTTGTGCAAACTCCTTGACTTTTTTTAAGTTTACCCACGACTTTCATTTATTATTAGCTTTTTTGACCATTACAATGTTCAGGACCCATTCAAGGTGCTTGGCTTCCCTGATAAATCTAACGAGTAGCTTTGATACTTGTTCTTGAATTGCAACCTTGATCTTGATGAACTAGTTCTATTTTTTCCATTGATTAGCCCTATTTTAAATCGGATATGGAGATGATAGTTGGTGATATCTATACTGACGAAAAACATATCGGATGGCTCCTAGCTTGTAACACCCTACGGTACCCTTAAACAGTACTGTAGAGTGTTACAAATAAAATATAACATTTTTGATCTTATAACCATTTGAAACAATCCATCATTTGCATGTTTACATATTAACATATCATAAACCTTTACCAGTACATCAACGGAAGTACTTAAAATTTTTAAGAAATCATAAATTATAATTACAGAGCCATAAAAATTTGAAACAAACATTCCATGGGAATATTAACATACCTTTAGTTTAGTTTTACAAACAGAAATAAAATTAATATCTAGGATTGAAATACTTGAACTAGTCAGCAACCATTTTTTTCTTTCCCTTTTCCTATAACAACAGCCAGTAATGAAAATACTGGTGAGCTATAAGACTTAGTAAGTAATGCAGTTGTAATTAGTATTAAGGTCGCTTTGCCCTTCTCCAAGGGACTTCAACTCACGAGTCCGAACCCATCATGCGGCTGTTGACAAATTTGATTCCTCTCGTAGGAATCTCACTCTCATTCTCTCCCAAGAACAAAGTGTGGAATACAAAATTTTTCATATCAAATTCACCATCCTCTTACAATAGCTAAAGGCCATATATATAAGCCACAACATGAGAAAATAAAAAAAATTACAAAATTACCCCTCGGGCTACAACACTCAAATAAATTAACTTAGGGGTAAAACAGGAAATAACATAAAATAGAAACTAAAATGCAGAAAATAATTCATAAATGACAACTTAAATCAGAGCCGTCGATTTACGACGCCTCCTGTGATAGATGCGCCAGATTTTCGTGCCGATGTCCGCATCATCTTGTTGAGGTGGATGACATGCAGATTATTTATGACCATTCCTACGATAGAGGACATATTCCATGAGGTGAGCTGAGAAATGGTCATGCGACTGGAAGTAGAGAATAATGAAGAAGATGAGGGTTAGAGAAGCTTGTGGTGTCTCGGTTAAGTTGCTTCACTAATTTAAGAAGACAGTGGTGAGGGCTTGTGGTGATGAATGAAGGGGGAAAGTTGCAAGAGTTTACATCCGGGACTGCAATCATGTGTGAAGAGAATTTGGCTACAACCAAAATCCGAACTCCTATTTATCACGACTTCAGAGGTGGCAAACATTACAAGAGAGAGAGAGAGAGAATTGTTATATTTGGAGTAAAGCATCATTTCAGTTGGCTAGCCACGGTTCTATGAGGGCTGGCTTGGGTAAATGTTTTTTTTTTCGCCTGTTTGTTACATTTATAAGACATTTCACGTGTATATGTTATTGCATATGTGGCTGTATTTCATTTGTGAATCATGACATTGAACAGGTTGTCTCTTAAGAAAATTTGTATCCATTAAATTCTTAAATATGTATCTACTTTTGTGCTTGTCCATTTGTCTGATTAGCGAACATATCTTTCTGTCCATTTAATGTCTTGGACGATAGATTCTCTACATGTTTAGTTATCAGACATATCGATTTGTTAAAGCCTTGAGTCAAGTTCCTGACCCTTGATATTATATTGTGATGGTATTTAATTCAACATTCACATGCATAGAATGATTTAAGGGTCTTTCTTGCCATTAAAGTACTTTGTTTCACGTCAATGAGTTCAGCAACTAGCAATAAGAGGCTAAATTCTAATTTATAGAACTTTTGCAGATCAAAAATAGTAGGGGATATGTACTTCAATGCAGTCACTATGTACCCCTTGAGGTTCCAGAAGGAAAGGCTCTTCCCTGTGTCATATATTGCCATGGAAACAGGTAGAAGATCGTTTTACTGACTGATTCCTTTTTTTCCATAAAAATTTTCATTTTTATCCTGTCTATTTTTCTTGTTTTGGTGATTTGGAAACTGGAAAAAATATGTTCTGATATGGTAACACTAGGAAACATGTTATAAATCGTTTTGCTAACTTTTTTCTTCACATCATGTTGATATTGGTAAACTACTGGAAAAATATGAAGTTCTCAATATAATATGTACTGCCTTGATACATTTGATACGTTGACTTCTTATGATAATAAGTAAGATTAATCTAATTGAGGTCATGGGATTCTTATTTATCTTCTTAACTGTGAGAATCTTTCTTGGGTTCTTCATCATTGTGTATCAACTGACATAGAAGAGTAAATTAATAATTAAGGAAGTGCCCCATTTCCTTCCTTTTATGGTTTGTAGATTACATTTCTTAAACTTTAAGTACATGTCTTTGAATTCCTGTCTTAATCATGTGCTAAACATTCTTCATTGGTAAGCTTAACTTATTGAGCATGCTTGCATAACCAAGTGTATAATGCTTTAGATGAAAGCAAGGATATGATTCATATATTACAATGAAAGATGAGTGAAGAACAAATTATGGAAAGAGTCATAAAAAAAATGGGAATGATGGAATGTGTCAATCTTTGTGCTACAACCAGCAGCACTCGGCACCATACCGAAAGTAAGTCCATGACAATGGAAGAATTGTAGGGGATTGGAAAAGAATTCAGGTTGTGTCGAATGTTGACCATTCAATCCATAATTAAGTTCGGCATCAACAGTGTGATTGATCAGATTGTTTCTTGCTTTATTGAGAAATTTATATTTGAGAAATATTTGGATATGTTTCTTTTTTTATTAGTATTTATTTCTTGCCATATTTTCTTATTGTTTTTTTTTTACTTGTATCCCAATGGTTGCTTTTATTATAAATAGGGACCATTAAGGCTAGGCTGAGGCATATTAATGGTTGAATGATTTTTTGCTATTTGAGCAGTTGCCCCTTTTTCATCTCTCTCTCTTCTTAGGTCCATTGTCAATAGCTATTTCCCTTCTCTTTTTCCTCTTTTGCCCTTCTTGATATATTTTGGTATTACTTATTAGTACCTTTTAACGTTGCACCTTCATGTGCCCACAACTGATTATATTTGTTTTAATGTCACAACCTTCAATTGCACTCATCTTGCTTGCACTTATAGACCATTGATTGCATTCCCTACCCATAGCCATCATGCTTGTGTGACGTGTTGCATCTCACATTGCTCTTAAGCGATGTTTAATGGAATATCATTGTTGAACATCCCCTTGTGAACTCTAATATTATTGTCGCTTACTCCTCACATTGTTACCTACTTCTTGTTCCCCGCTTGCACTCAACCTTGGTGTTGCACCATTGCTTTTTTTTTTTGTGCAACAACCTGGTGTAGGAAACCTTGCTCTTGCACTTGTGATCCCAACCCACAAACCATTATTCCGTCGCTTTCCCTATGCTTTTCGGTGTATGTTCTCGGTGCTAGTTGATGTAGGCAGGGGGGGGGTCAAATCAAATCCTAATATTTGATTTTTGACTCCTCTAGCTCATTAATGTCTAGTAAAAAATTAGCTCATTTAACCCCACTAATTTGTCGATGGTCTCTATCATGCCAATGCTCTGCACCTCACAAAGCCATTTGCCAGTCATCCCTTGGCTTTTTGATCCCACAACTAGGATGGGAATTCATGGGAGCCTCACCTATTAAATCCTAGCTGACCCTTGGCATTTTGATCTCACAGCTAGGATGGAATCCGTAGGAGGCTCACCTGGATCACACTGATCTCCTTCCATATATAGGTGATTGATTTAGGAAGGATTATATTAGAGCAATTATTCATTATGCTATAATTATTTATTTATTTATTAAGATATCTTTTATTAATCTATAAATATGGACAAAATATAAAAGGTGTCCAAAAATCCTTTCCTTACATTTCCTCTCTAATCCTTCTATTCAAAACATCAAAAATAACAAAACAAAACCTGCCGTCCGTCAATGGGTTGCTGTCTATCATCAGAAAACAGCTCAAAGCCTGTTATTTTAACAAAGTTTGAAACTCAATGTAAGGGAAAAATATGGTTTGGAGTTGGTATACCCTTTAAAATGGGACATAGTGAAGGGATTGACTTTAACCCTTGAATAAAGTTCAAAAGTTGAGATTGATTGAACAAATTTTATACTAAAAAGATAAAATTTTATATACAAGTAATTCTAAGTAAAACAGGTAAGAATAGGCAATGGAAGTAAATAATATATCACATTCAATAGAGGTAATGTACATGAAAAACTGATGTTATTACTAGTGGAATCAATTCAATATACATGAATTTGTGTAGCAATAAATCAAGACAAAATGATCTATGCTACTTGATATTTCAAAATGAAAATTAAACGATATATACAAACGTGTGTATTACAAATAATTGAGTACTGGTGGTAGGACTAACAACTTACAATACATAAGAACCTATTACAAACACCAAGGATAATGGCTCTAACAAAGAATGATATGTTTATTCTCTAATAAATAAAGTTACTTCAAATTGAGTTATACACAATTTTAAATTTATTTGAGATTCAACTGTGTTAAGTTAAACTTAAATCGAAGCTCTTACACATCACGAACTTTCAATTAATTATAAGTATGAAATTAATGGCATTCAAATAATATTTAATTGAAATAGTTGCAATCTACTCAACCTATTTGGAATAAAATCATACTAATAACCTAATCATAATATCTATCCTAAAACTTCATCAAAACAAATGCTAGTGGTAGGGAAAGGGAGGAGGATGGCTTGAGGCTTGCTCTCGATTGTTGAAGGAGAAGAAGGAGATAAGGGAAATTGATTTTGAGGGCTGGAGGAAGGGCACAAGAGAGGAATGGTTGCTTGTTCGAAGAAGCTTGATGGCTGCGACGGGAACGGTATGTGATGCCTAGCCTGTTGCGATCTTTTTAAGGGGGAGTATAGATGAAGAAGCCAGAGATTTGCATGCTGATTGGCAACAGAGGGAGTGATCTTGTGTTCACGTGATGGAGTAGAGCAGCTAAAATTGAGGTTTGGGTTGCATGGAGGGGGAGGGGTCTACTAGTCTGGTTCAGAGAGGTTAATGGTTTATTACAATATTTGTTACAAATCTTAACTCAAAAAGAATTTATAAAATAGTGCAAAAAATATGGATTCATTGCTCTCAGTTACCATTCAATAAACACGCTCAATTTATATTTCATCATGTCTAGCAATGTTCTATTTATTCTCTCAATAACAACATTTAGTTGAGGCGTACTAGATGTAGTAAGCTGTGATAAAATGCCATGCTTAATCAAGTAATCAATAACCTCTGAATTTAAATATTTATTGCCTCAATCAGATTGAGAATCTGAATTGAATTACCTAATTGTTTTTCACCCTTAGCTTGGAATTTCTTAAACTTACCAAAAGTTTTAGATTTCTTTTGTATTTGATACATATGGCCATATCGGAAAAAATTGTCAAGAAAGATGATGAAATATTCATACCCACCCATTACGTGAACATTTAGAGGTCCACATTCATCTGAATGTTTCAACTCAAGATGTTTGGCTCTTTAATCATTTGTAGATGAAGTTTTTTTTTAGTTTTTACATTCAAGATAGGATTCACAACTAGGTAGAATGTCAATTTTAAGATCTCATTAGACCATGTTTTTTAACTCTTTCAATTCTATTTTAGGTTAACATGAACATGCTTAACATGCCAGTGATATATATCATCATCATCATGAGAATCTTTTTGTCTTTTGGACACTGGCAAAGCAATTTTGAACATTTCAACATTTAGTAGTAATTTAGGAACAAGTATTTAAAAATAAAGACTATCTAGTATCTACTAAATTTGCGGAACAAATATTTAAACCATTTCTCAAAATAATTATCGAGTTATTATTAAAAGAATTTCTAAATAAGTATTCACACGACCTAGAAATAGAAATTAAGTTTCTTCCAAAACCAGGAATAAAACAAACATTTTTCAGATCAAGTGATGTTGTTGAAACCAAAGTTCCATTGTACACTCTCATCATTAAGTCCCCAGTGGCAAGCTCCCTTGAAGAACTAAGCGCCTGCAAGAACGACAAACATGATTAGTTTCTCTCAAATCTCTCTACTTAACATATTTCTTCTTCTGCTTTAGCTTTCAAGATACTTTTTTAAAGTTTCTCTTTCGATAACTATGCTGATCACGTTGGAAATATTCTTCTTTGGCCTTTTGGTCATTAGTTTTGTTTCTTTTTTTTTTTTTCATTTTCTTCTAAATTCTTTATTTATTTTTCTTCCATATTTATCATTTCCAAATGTCCTCAGCAACATTTGCTTCAACATCCATTGCCCTGAAAATAGGCTAAAAAACTTTAAGTTTATGCAAGAGTTAATCAAATTCTGATTCATCTTATTGATGATATAAATTGACTTGAACTAGATAAAGGCAAAGGATAGTCTCTAAGATCATCTCCACCTTGGTAACCCCATCTATTATCGCCCTATTTACTTTGGCCTGAAAGTTGCTAACCATTTTCAAACTTTTTTTTTTTTCTCGTTTTTGGCTTCTTCCGTGATGAAATATTAAGCTCTTCATTCTATCTCCTAATTCTTCATAAATTCACTTTTTTGCTGTTCATTGCAAAGAGAATCGGACAATATTATGCTTAGTTTCGCTAAGTGTATTTTAAGAAAAAGGGCTTCAATTTTAGAAAACATAGATTTCTCTTTGATTATTATTTTAGTGGTTTCTATTTGAATTCTTCATGTTGGTGATGCTGATTCTTTTTTGATAACATAGTGTAAATTTATTTCAGTGGGTGCAGGGCGGATGCTAGTGAAGCTGCTATTATATTACTGCCATCAAACATTTCGGTTTTTGCCCTTGATTTTTCAGGATCTGGACTATCAGAAGGGGAGCATGTCTCTTTGGGATGGAATGAAGTAAGCATTCACTTTATGATGAAAATCTGTTTGATGAGTTGGAGAAGCAGAATGACTCTATTGATTACTCCTTTATTGGCGTATAGCCTCTATTTTTAATTAACAGTTGTTTGCATGATACATCTTCTTTATAACGAGCATTAACGCTGATATCAGACTTTGTCTTGGAGTTTTTCATTCCCTTGTAAATGAGGGCAACTTCTTGATCATTTTGGATGTGGTTGCTTTGTTTAACTACCATGTACTTATTGCACCTATTTGGTGTGTATAAAGTTAACTGTCGTAGTGATGTAGGTAAAAGATATAGGGAGCCTATACCCTTCGCCTACAAAAGAGACATGACGGACTTCTAACGACGAAATTGAGAAGGAGGAGAAAAGAGACGAGAACAATAGGGAAGAACGAACTCTTACATTTCAATTTTAAAACCAAATAAAAAAAAACTATGACGACGACTTACAAACAACACGACAGACACCCTAAAGTTGCTGTACTTTGAGAAGAAGGATACAGGTTAGGTTATTTAAGCACTGATTTCAATTATCTTTAAGCTATTACGTGTCTTTCTCACAGTGAGCCTATGGATTAATGTGCAGTAAATATTAATGTTTTATAGATAGTTATATTTTACATTTTAGCTGAAAATTGTCTTTTTTCAATAATTTTGCTACAGTTAATGATGTAACGTGTAGTTTGTTCTTGTGATAAAAAAGTGATCTCTCAATTGCGCATCTCAACTTCTCTTCAGCTCACACTGAAATTTCTTGAATAGCTATTATTATACAATTTGCATTCAACTTTACCTGTGCACAAAAGAATTTTATCAATGAGCTGATCTCCAGTATTACTTGTCATAATTCTGGTTTTAAATAATGAGCATGATTGATTTAAATGTCAACAATTAAAAGGAAAATGCTATTAGAAATGTTAATATATTCCAGACTGATTATTTATGAATGTTAATTTATTTTTTTTTTATTTTTTTGTGGATGTTAAATACATGCAGGAATCATGAAAACAAGTTTAAGTGCTATAATTTAGATCAACATTTATGGGCCTAATGCATCAAGTTAGATGCAACATAAATTAAGATATTAAGATCTTAGTTAATTATATAGACCCAGGAAATACGTAATAATTTTGTGGAATATTTAAATGAGAAAGTTAATGCTTAAGATATTTTCAGCGAGATCATAATAAAAAAAAACATGAATAGTACAATAAAGTCTTATGTTATTGGTGAATCCTTTGGGTATAAAGTTTATAAAATTATATAAGAATCAAATTTATGAATAGTACAATAAAGTCTTATGATAGCGTTATAAGACATAAGCTTAGCAAAAAGCATGTTGGTTTGAAGAAATAATGGGATTTATGCTAAGAAGAAGATCCATTATAGTGGCGATATTTGATGTGACAAAAATGAGAATGTTAAGATGAATGGATGGAAGAATTAGAACTATGAGATCGTGAAATGAAAAGATAAGAGGGACAGGGAGAATAACTCCTAAAGATAAAGTAGTGGAAAACAAACACATTATTTGGGTTGGTACATGCACAATAAAGAGTAGAAAATGCATCAAGAAGTTTTGAGAATTTAAGCAGGTAAGTACTATGTAGGAAAAGGGGTAAATTAAAGGCAACATTTACAAAACTGCTAAAAGATTTACTCAAATATAAATCTTAGACCTCAAATAATACTTAATAAAAATGAGCGGTAAATAAAGATTCATTAAACCGAGCCAAGGATAGAGCTAAGCATGATGACTATGATGATATTTTTGGTTTTTGTTCTTGTTATATATGTTATTGTTTTCAATAACAATTATTTCTATTATGCTCCTTTTTTGATGGTTTCCATAAGGAATTTTAGGCATTAGGTACCATTGAATTGTAAGTTTCACTTTGAAATTGCCAACATTTGCTAAATCTAACTATTTGGATCTTTAAATCACATTATAACATGAATTTGTATTTGGTTGTACTTCTGTTTTAGAAGATTCATATACAAGTTGTTTTTTTGGTTTTGATGAATATTTTTTATTTTTTTATGTATCTACTTTACTCTCAATTTTGACTCTTATTTGTGTTATATCAGAAAGATGATCTTAGGGCTGTGGTAAATCACTTAAGGACAGATGCAAATGTCTCTTGCATTGGTTTATGGGGGCGCTCAATGGGTGCTGTTACGAGGTATGTTTAGGATTCTTTGATTTATTCTTAACGTGTTCTTAAAATTTCCCTATGCAATCCATCCCCTATTAAATGAATCTTTTTTATGCGGTTATTGTTTCATTATGAAATCAAATGCAACTATTTATTACTTTGTATAACTTTGTTTTATGAATTACGTTAAGCATTGTAGGATAATGTATAAGTTTAAAATATAGCATATAGTAAAATCACGTATTTGAAAAAAAATGCCAATGTTTCGTTGCTTGTAAAAAAAATTTAGATGTTTAATTTTTTTTTTAATCTTTGGTTGCTTATAATGCACAACCAATTTTTGAATTATGCCAACTATGGGCAATGATAACAATTGATATTGGTTGTGTTCGATAACGGTGGTGGTGGTCGATAGTGTGGATGTTGGACGATAATGGTCCCAACGACAATTGCTGGCATCATTAGTGGTGGTCAGCTGTCGGTGGCGAGTGGTGGTGGGCGAAGCTTCATTTTTTATGTCATCAAAATTGAGCGAATTTCAAACCCCCTGAAAATGAGCTAGGTAAGTAATTCTAAATACCTCAATAGATTACTTTGTATTTGCTTTTGTTCTAACAAAATGCTAAAAAAATTAAATCTTTTGTATTTAGTTTACTTCGAACTATATATTTTTGCAACCCAACAACCCTTCAAACTATATAATTTTAGGAATATGAATAGAGGTGGAGCTTCTTAGGACTCCTTAATATATCTCCTTAATATATCTAATAGAAGAGCATAAAGGGTGGATGCACATTAGTAAATTACATTGGCTTTGAAAGAAGGAATGGCCCATTGTTTAACGGGTGGAAGGTGGTTGGATTGATTGGAGAGTGGAAGATGTAGATGGTGAGAAGGGAAGGATGTCACAACTCGGTTTGAAAGTTCAAATTAATGAGGTGGAAAAAGACAGTCGGACGACATTCACAATTCTCTTACATAACAAAAAATATTCAAATAAAAGAAATATCTGATTTTAACTGAAGTGCCATTAAAATAATTTTCAGTCTAAACATACGATAAAATAATTCTTACCTATTTTTCAATTGATCATCTTCTTCGGTACTCAAAACTTTCTTGACCAACCATTTAATTAACAAGGGTTTTAACTGAAAATTTCAATTTTATAGTTTGAGTTTTTCAGAATAAATCAATGGTTAATTATAGTTTATAATATAGCAATAAAACTATGTATGTAAACAATCATATTAATTTATCAAAATTTTAATTTAATAAATGTATAAATATTAATATATATTTAAATACTATAATTTCTTGGTTTATAAAACGTTTTTTAAAATTTCAATTCAAAAGTAATTCAATTTATTTTTCTTCCCGTTGAATCAAGATCACACAAACTATACCAGCTTCTTGTTTTTCTTTCCTAGAACATACAATTGTATAATTAAATTAGTCAAATCAAACTAAAATTATAAGCTCATTCTCAATTAGAAATTTACTTGCTCCAATTTTTCTTTTCTTTCTTCAACCTTCTACTTTGCCTGAGGTAAAAAAATAACGAACTACTCACCTTTTCTCTAACAATAAGAGTACGAAATCTTCCCCTCACACAATTTTTTTCCCTCACATATAAACTCCTCTCTTCCTTGCCTTCAGCTCTAATAGATCGAACGAGCTCACCTTATTCCACGTGAGGAGTTGTGTTCAAAGCATCACCCTCAAAATTGGCAGCTTCGCTCTGCTCCAGCCCACTTGCTCTTGAGTTCACCTGCTCAATCGTTGCACCTACTCGACCACTGCTATTATGGGACCGGTTTAATTGAACCGGTCTAGCTGGACATCACAAATTTATGGGATATGAATAGGAAGGTCTTGAATTATGGCTCTTCGATATTCAAAAATTGGATCTATCATCGCTAATGCACTCGTAGAATAAATATCTATGATCTGTTATTTTCGGATCATTGATTGGAGACATTGTTTGTGTTTGCATTTTCCAAAACACTATTGGTTGCCCAAGTTAGCTGTCACGACTCGGCTTGAAAGTACAAGTTAATGAGGCAGAAATAAACATCGAACGATTATTATCGTTCTTTCAATAACAATAACTACTTAGTAGACTCATATCCAAAATATAATTAAAGAATCACTAAAACAATTTTCCAATTTGAATATATAACAAACAAGTTATTATCTATTTTTAGTTGATCCCCTTGTTTTGTACACAAACTCTTCTCTTTCAGTCATCTAATCCACAAGAGGTTTATCTTAATTTGAGTTATTTATAATAAACTCAGTTAAAAACTTATAATTTGCGATATAATAATTAAGAATGCATATAAATTGTCATGTTAATTTGTCAAACTTTTCATTTAAAATACATATGAATATTTAGTATAAATGTATAGCAAAACTTTATTTCTTTAAATAAACTTTATTCCTTTAACATTTCAATTATTACAGGAGCACCGCCTAATTTTATAGCAATGAATGTATAATCATTTTCATTTTTATTTACTTTTCCGTTTAACATGCACGGGTACGCTGCGTCTCCAACCAATACAATAAGTGGGTGAACTCTTGTATTTTCATGTAATATATCTTTTCCCTTTCAATATTTTTCGCTTACATATTACGATTCCTTTTATTCATTTTTAAACTTTGATTATTTAGTCATCCTCAATTTGATGCATATCTGACATATCAAAGAATTAAACATTAACAAGTATATGTACATGATATAATATTCAATAATTGAAATGAAATAAAATAAAATAAAATTGCTATAGAATGGACGTAATCACCAAATTTTCTTCTCTTTTGTGTGTAGACAATCTTTTGAATTTCGGATTTTCTTTAATGTAACACCTAAGGTTGCATACACAATTACATGAATTTGCATAGTTCTCTTAAAACTATACTTTCATTAAATTCAATTAAATTTTCCATTAACATATATGTATCTCTTATTTAATCTTTTCCTAAGAACTCTTGTCATCTTCAGCACTTTTCCTCAGCTGTCAGCTCAACGATTTGAATTATTTATTGTTCTAAATAATATTCATTTGTATTAATTATCATTAATCCACTTAAAAGAAATCAATTGTCATCAAGGTAACATTGAATTAATTGGATTTTGTTAAAAATAATTTCAAATTCATCAAACCTCATTAATAAAACATTAAATAATTCTAATTTGTTATATCATAATTACAATTACAACATCTACTGTTAAATTCTAAAAATAATTGTAAGTTCTTACCTCAATAATTCTTTTTTTTTTCTTTCTTGCTGATTTGAGATTTCCATCAATTAGATTCTTCCTATTAAACGATCATTTACTTTTGTTTTAGTCAAAACTATAAATTATACATTTATATTATTTTTATATTTGAACGAGAAAGAAAATTTTAAATGACTTACTCTTTCCCATCCTAAAAAATGGAGGCTCAAGAACTCTCTCGCTGAGCATTGAGACGACAAACCCTCAACAAGAAATAACTCTCTCTTAATTTTTCTATTTTACAATATCTCTCCTCTCTTCCAATTTCCTCTACTCTCAGTCATTGTCTTCTCTCGGTCACTGCCTTCTTTTGACGGTTCTATTGGAGTGAGCAAAATTTGATATCTCACGCAAGGAGTTACATATAATCACTTCCAATCGCATTGGTTCTCTAGTTCAATGGATTTTTCCACTCGCTCGCTCGGCCCACACGCACTCCCTCAGCCTCTCATGTTCGCCTGCTGCTTGAGAAAGGACCGGTTTGATTGAACTTGTCCAACCAGTTCTTACATTAGCCCTAGTCTAGGCAGACCTACTATGTCAGTCTAGGAGCATCATCTTCTATCACAATTTAATCATTGAAAAACACTTTAAGATTACCTAGTTTATTTATAATGCCTTTTGCTGGAACAAATTTTAAATAAAACACAATATTACACTAGGAAAATGGTATAGGTACAATAACAACAATTGCCTAGAATTGCTAGAGTATAAGGAAAAGTACAAAATAGCAAATATATGAAGTTAAAAGCTAAAGGATAATATGCTCAACGATATGAGAAAACACTAAAAGAGGGAAAGAGCTCATTGGATTTATCATGTTTGAAGCTTGGTGAAAACTGGAGAATGATGGTATTTTTTTATTACGATCTCATTTGGTAAATATGATTTGAAACCTCTTATCCACCAAGAAGATCATTATTCAATATTTTTGTTAGAATCATTAGTTTGTTAAGCATCATGATTATCTAGATTTTCCTTGATAAGAGGGTGAAGGTAAACTTCCATAATTGGAGAATCAAATTCCATTATCTTACTTACAAAAGATGCATAAGTCATCATACATGTAGGGCTAGTAGGGTTTGGCACAATAGTCTTAGGATCTCGAGGAAAGTCAATTGATCCTAAACTCTGGAGCAACATTTTACTAATGATGGAGCAGTAGAAATTATTGTGGGGTTGGGAAAGATCTGAACATTTTAATGACCCTTTTGTCCAAACATTTGGTTGCCTTAGATCCGGATGTACCTAAAATCATTTAGTGAAATTGTGTCAAAAAAAATTACAAAATAAATAATATAGGTAATGCTTTTGAATACTATCTTCTATCAATAATCACAATACTCTGGAGCCAATCCACACCTCTTTTTTCAATGATAATATAACATCCATTTCAACCAAAATTCTGGCAACAAATAGGTCTCAAAAGATTATTATTGGTAGTAGCAGCTACTTGCAAAAAATTACCAAAGATTAGGGCTGTCAATTCGGGTCAACCCGTCGGGTTCGGGTCGAATCCGACCCGACCCAAATTTAAACGGGTCAACCCGAACCCGACCCGTTTTTGCAAACGGGTCAGACCTTCCAACCCGGACCCGACCCGAGCGGGTTACGGGTTGACACCCGAACCCAGATTTCCCGGGTCGGGTTCGTGTCGGGTTAGCGGGTCGTGTCAGGAATTGACAGCCATACCAAAGATAGAACTTAAAAATATGAAGTGGATTGGTTGAAGAAATGCAAATGTAGTTTAGAAAAAACTACCCAAATAGGATTGATTTGAGGTTGCATAGATGCATGAAAATTAGGAGACCTTGTAATAATACACATTGGAAAACCATTAATATAGTATGTTTAGAAATGAGTTTTGTATAGTCTTCACCTGAGATTAATCTTATAATGATGTGATGAAGATCAATAATTTCTAGGAGAAATTTTCATTTCAACTTTTTGAAAATTTTAGATATTATATAATTAACTGAATGTTTAAATTTTAAGGTTTTCACCTTAAAATACCTCAATACATGTCTGTGCAATTTCAAACTTTGGATGGAGTTCATCAATTGTCCAGAGTGCATTGTATGTCGGAGATTTTTTATTTACTAGGTTATCGTGGAGGGTCCAAATCTTTTCGGTATGACAACCATTTTGGTTTTATTGCTATACCTTTTTTGACTTTTTGAGATGTCATCATGTCGTTGATATATATCGGATATAAAGCATCAAGGTAGAATAAATAACCATATCTTGCCTTATGCTGAACTCCGATAAGTAACAGTTTTGCAGAATAGTAATGACGTTTCTCTCAAATTATATATTTTCCATTATGACTATATATTTTTAATATCTAATAATGCTCATGTTTTGCAGTTTGATGTATGGAGCTGAAGATCCATCCATTGCAGGAATGGTTCTTGATAGCCCATTTTCGAATCTTGTGGAGTTAATGATGGAGCTAGTTGACACATACAAATATCCCTTACCAAAATTCACTGTATGAAAAAGATTACCTGAGGCTCACATGTGCAATTTGTCCTTTTTTTTTCAAGGATTTGAACCTAAGAACTCCACTTAAAACATCAATAGTACAATTCAGTCCAGTGCTTTCTCTTTTATGCATGCACACACAACATATACTGATATATAAGATGTACATGTCAAAGCACACATCCTTAGGCTCTGTTCATATGTTATGAGTTTGGTATCAACGGAACTAAAAGTTCGAACATCTCAGATCATAAATTGCAAATTTATAGTGAAGCCCCAAATTGATTAATAATTACTTTTCACATAAGAAAATACTTCAATTTTTTTTTTCCGCATGCATGCATTGAGTCGTGATCCTTGCTCATGCTCTTTTTCCACTGCCAAAAAATTCCTCTACTTTTATTTGATTTTGCTGTTTTTATTTGTCCAGTACTAGGATGGAATTCTGTACGCACTACTGTTACAAACAAATGTTAGCTACCTGTGTATGTGGTCTTGATTTTTGATGTAAGTTCTTAAGTAGCAATTTTATTCAACAAAGCTCTCAGCTCTATTGCAGTTTCGTTTGTTCTGCCTTACGGTACATAATATAAAATCATTTAACAAGAGCAAATCTTTTGTGATCATATTTAGTGTTCACGTTGTTTCCCTAGACACCTGCATCTATTTCAACGTTCAACTGACCAAATTAGCAGATTATGTTCTTGGCCTGCCTCCCTTCAGAAAGTTGTTTCTATGGATGCCTAACTAGAGGGCCATGTCAGGATTGAGCCTGGCTGTCCATTTTGATCTGGCCAGGTGAACCATTAATTTAGTTGAACCAAGCACAAGTTAAACCCATAGAATTTATTCAGTGTCCAGTCTTGTAGATGAAAGCCAGTTGCATCACTGGTAATGATATGTAATGCTACTCCCAAATAGTTTGGATAAGGTGCATAGTGATTGTGATGGAATGTGAATCTATTATTATATCTTTCTTTCCTTATAGGCTAGGTCACTTCAGCTCAGGCCTTATTTAGCAATTTGGAGAGCCTTCATTTGAACAATATTATTAGTTTTATATAATCCATGGTTTAAAAAGACTCTTGAGGCGCCTACCTTGAACCGTGCCTCACCATAAGACACCCAATAAGTATCTTGAGGCTGTGATACTTTGAGTGACACTTTCTTTTTTCATTCAAGTCGCATGTTTCGAGCCAATTTTTCTTGAGGCATTTGTGGTGGAAGCAGCAACAACAACAACAACAACAACAATAACAACAATATCAAGCCTTTGGGTTTGGCTACATGAATCCTTTTTTTCCATTGTGTCATGTTAAAAGTCAAATTATCATTTAAATCTAATAAAGAAAGATCATTTCTAATATTTTCTAACCAAATCTTTTAGATCTTCCCTACCTTCCTTAACATAAGTCAAATCTAATACCTCTACTTTCCTACCCGGGTCATCGGAAGGCCTCCATGTAACCAAACCATCTAATCTTATCTTCCATTGGAGCTACTCCAACCTTTTCACATATATACTCATTTCGTATCCTATCTCTAAGGGTAAAGCCACTCATCCACTTAAGCATCCTCATCTCTACAACACTTAACTTAGTATTATGCTTCTCTTTTAAAGGCCAACATTCGCACCATAAAGAATTGCAAGTCTCACCACCATCTTATAGAATTTTCCCTTAAGTTTGAGGGGATCACATAACAAGCTCGATGCATTCTTCCACTTCAACCATCCAACTTGAATTTTGCTAATAATATCCTCATCTATTTCACCATCACTTTGAAAAATAGATCCAAGATATCTAAAATGTGTACTCTTATTAATGACTTGATCACTCAAAGTCACAATCCCCTCGCTAGGTCTATTACTACTAAAATTATACTCCATATATTCAGTTTTAGATCTACTCAAGCGAAAACCTTTAGACTCTAAGGTTGACCTCCATAATTCAAGTTTACCTTCAACTCCCTCTCTAGTCTTATCAACAAGAAGAATATCATTAGCAAAATGCATACACCAAGGTAGATCCTCGAGGCATTTTTGGCGAACACATAAGATTAATGTTTACATCAAAACACTTTTAAGTAATATACAAGAGAGTTTAAGGTTTTAGGTTTAGAGTTTAGATCGATTTGAAGATAAAGAGTTAAAGTTTTTAGGTCTTTTTCATTTTTTAGCTTTTTTTTTAAAATATTTTTACTGATTTTTATTTTAATTAACTTGTTTCTATTTTCATTTAATTTTTCTAAATTTTCTTTTAATTTAATTTTTTAGCTTTCTTTTAAATGTTTTTTCATTTGCTTTTTTAACAGTTTTTTATTATCTTCTTAACTATTTTTTTTAATTAGATTGTTGTTATTTTCTTTTAGTGTTTAGGTTTTTAATTTTAACTGTTTGTTAATAATTTGTATCATATTTATGAATTATCTTTAATTTTTTTTTTTTTTTTAGTTTGAGGCTTAGCCCTCCATTTGCTTGTGGCCTATGCTTATGCTTCACCTCAGAAAGGAAAAACACCCAAGTTTCCGATTTTACTTTTTTAAACCTTGTCATATATACGGTGGCAAGTTGGCCAGCACAAGCTAATATCATGCTATTTTCTTCATTAAGGAGTTTTAACGAGTTCGGTAATACTATTGGAGTATTTGAAACTTTTATTTTTAGTCAATTTTTTATTGAGCTTAAAACTGTGCTGTAGAAAAATGCAATTATCCCATTTGTCATTCGAAAATTAAACAATTAATTATTCTGTCCAGGTCAAGCTTGCTATACAACACATGCGCAAGATTATCAAGAGGAAGGCAAACTTTGACATTATGGATCTGGATGCTATTCAGGTTGAATTTTAGTATTTTACTAAAAAAGCCAGCTCTAAGTTCCTGAGTTTCTTAATTTTTTGTATTTTTTCTTCCTTTATTTCTTTCTTTTCTATAGTTAGAATTTCTTTAAATGGTTAAATGTACTATGCTTTTAAGTCTTCAAGCAGAATATGAATGCTTAACATGTTGCAGTGCTCTTGTAGAGTTGCTGGGTATTAATTGAACAATCTGAAAGAAACAATCAAATAATGATAAACTTATATTATTTGGCAGTCTTAGGATTCTTTAGATTGGGATCCAATGTCAGTGGACTGATATAGCCACTTCAAGGTGGAGACAGGGCTCACCATATAGGTGAAAGATAAAAATGTTGACTTTTTTTTTTTTTTGCTATTGATCTCCCACTGAAATGTTTAGGGACATGAAGGCTTTTTTCTCTTTCATTTTAGTGTTTTCGTTCACACTAAGATGCTAAAGAGCTTCAGTGTAGAACTCTTTTGTGGCAAAAGATGCTAGTGTATTTATAAGCTGATTTCTGGGAAGAGTTGACATAAAAGTCATCAAAGTCAGATAGTTTAAAGAGAAATGGTTAATATGGCGTTTGTAATGTTTAATAAATTGAATCAACCTTGTCCAATTGAATATTTTTGAAACCCTGGGGTATCCACCATATGTGTAATGTTGTTAACTCCATTTTGATATGGATGTCACGAGTGAATTGCTGAATGATTATAAAAAACCATGAAATTCTGCTTGCAATGGTTTTAATAGCTGAATTATCTATTATGCAATTAATTTTATGAAAATTTGAGCTTTGGAATGCCTTTCTAATGCTTTTTTCAGGCTATGGGAACATAGTTTGGCCTTCATAATCTCAACAATTTTCTTTTGCACGAATTTCAATAATTTGCTAAAGTTCGTTCTTTTTGTGATTTATTTGCATCTTATTGTACTTATTTGTGCACTAACGTTTCATGGTGTAATCATTAGATTCTATCATCTTCTTTTTCAGTATTTATTCTTTTATGTTTAGTTTGTTGATCAATCATTAAATAGGTCATCATATTACCTTCTCCTGACTCTTCTTCTTTCATTGTTTGCATGTTTTCTTGCCATTCTTTTGAAAGTGTATGGTGATTTGAATGATTTTTTATTTCATAATTATGCTATAGAGCTTGCATCCTAGGTTGAATCTGTTATAGATCCTGACATCAAAATATGAGAATTGGGCTTATTGAGACTTGTTTTGTATGATTTTTTAAATTGTGCCTTGTTCTTTTCTTTAAAAAAATAAAAGAGTACTTTGCCTTTATGTTACGACCCGGCCTGGAGGCTCGAATTAACAAGGTACGAATAGTAGATGGTCATATGGTTGATTAAATTTTTAATTTCTAAAATTATCACCAATAAACTAAAAGAGCCACTAAAAACCTTTAAATAAAAAAATTATAATAATTACCTTTCCCTTGGAGCGTCGCGCCTACGATATGCATTATCTCATTTTCTACTCATTTTAAGCTTTTGAATACTACCTGTAATTTATTGTCAATAAAAAGAGTATTATAAAATAACTCAACGAATTATTCATGCTTCTAAATTATAGTAACATAAGACATTTGAAATAATATGCATGCTCATTTCCTGTTATAACCCGACCCAGATGCTCGAATTAATGAGGCAGAAACAGATGGTCAGACAGTTAATTCATTTCCTTAACTTATACATAAACAAGTAAAAAAAATATATGAAAAAAAAAAATTAATATTAGCATCACTCATAAAATTAAAGAGCCACAAACAAACTTATAGATCTCAAGTGAATATACATAAACCAGATTTTACCTTTCTTCATTCAATCGCTTCTTCTGAAGATGTATTCCTCTGTTTCATCCATTTCTATTTATCAAAAGATTTACCTAAAAATTTATTTAGTTGTTTGAGTTTTACCTAGTAACTATAATGCACTGATACACCTTATGAAGGTATACAGTGTCGGACTCGATCTCGAAATGGCTGGAACATGTGTTGGACACGGCCAAAACATGTCTAATTAAAACGAACACTCGTGTCGGACACGTGTGTCCTAATATTTAATTATAAAAAAATCCTAAATAATAAAATGAACCCATTTTAAGTAGCTGTGTGTGTTGTATCCCTTTATATTCTTTATTTTCGCAATTGAATAGGCTAGGGTTTACTCGAGCGTCGTCTCTTCATTTAACAAGCAGGCAAGTCAAAGGAAGCTAAGACGTGAGCTGGCGAGGCCAAATGAGGCTAATACGGAAGCAAGCGAGGCCGAAGGAGCCTAGCTCTCGAGTAGATGAGGTCACCAAGATCGATTACATTAATTTTCCTAAGAGCCCTAGCTCGGTGTATACAAAGACCTATGTCGACAACACTAGATCTATGCACGACCTTGATTATTAGATCTCTATCACTCTTGATCTCTACCAAGGTAATAACATCAGTTTTTTCCTCCGTTTAGGGTTATGGTGGAACCGTTACATTGAAATTTTGTTTCATGTCTTTAGATTTCATTAATTTCTTGAGTTTATTTGAGTCCATACTATTAAATTTGTTAACAAGTTATTAGTAGTTTATCACCATGTTGTACTAAATAGTTTTTGCTTATATTTTTGTGGTTGTATTAGACATTTCAATGCTTATTTGTTTTATATTATAAGCTAGATAAGTAATTATGATATTGATTTATTATTGTTTATCATTTCTAATATGATACTATATTAATTTCTATGCGCTATTTAAAAATTATAATGTCGTGTCTATGTCATATCCGTTTCCTATATTTTCTATTATAGTCGTGTCCTGTGTCTCTGTCGGTGCATCATAGCCTAGTAAACTCAGTGGATAATCACAACTTCTAGCATAGCATTTATACATACATAAAATCATATTCAATAAATTTTCTCTTACATTTAAAATATATATATATATATATATATATATATCCTTAGTATATATCTGTCACGTAACATGTTGCATTTCATTTTCATTTATTCATTTTTCATTTCCCAATTATTCATTTTCCCTTTTTCATTTAGTACAGGAGCACCGTCTAAAATTTTATACCAATAAATGTACACAACCATTTCCATTTTAACGTACACGGGTATATTGCGTCCCCAACCAATATCATAAGGGGATGAACTCCTGTATTTTGCATGCATATATCTTTTTCCTTTCAATTTTTTTGTTTATATATTATAATTCTTTTCATTCAATTCATTTCCATTACATATACTTATTGTTGTTTGTTATTATTTTTCCATACAAATATATTGTAAGCTTTGATTGCTTAGTCATACTCAATTTGATGCATATCAGACAATTAAATATCAATAAATACATATGCATGATATAGTATTAATTGAAATGACATAAAAGAAACTAAAATTGCTATGAACAATATAATCACCCACTTCGTTGCTTTTTGCTGAAATCCTTTTCCAGACTTTCATAGTTTCTATATGATCTCTTTAATGTAACATCTAAGATCACATATACAATTACATAAATTTAACTTGTTATTTTTCAACTAACTTCCATTACTTTTAAATAAAGTTTCCATGAACATATATGTAACCTTATCTAAACTCCCCTTGATATCTCTTTGTGCTTTAGTATTTTATCCCAGCTCAACTATGTAAATCTCTCACTGTTCTAAAATAATATCAACAACATTTTAATTACTACTAAGATTTAATTTGAAAAATTCAAATATCATTAAAGCAACATTAAAAATTTCTTATCACTTAAGATAACAGTGAGTACTTCAATTATTGCCAAAGATTACTTTCAAAGTATTAATTATCCCTAAAACAATATCAACTGTTTTTAAATTATCATATTACACTATCTATTTTTAAACCCTTACATAATATGAAATTAAATATTCCATATTACTTAAATCATATTAATTACCTCGATAAATCTTTCTTTTCTTCTTTGCCCTCGACTTGGTTAGAACATATTAGAGGTGTTAATATTTAAACTGACCTGGAACCCAATCAAAAAATTATGGGTTCAACCAACCCGTTTGTCATATGGGTCAGGTCAATTCGTTTGCCATACCAAGTTAGTTGGTCTGATCGGGTCAACCTAGTAGCCTGAACTGTTCCGGCAGACATTTTGACCCGTTTACAAAATCGGGTCGGGTTAGGGTCAACTTATTTGGACCCGGGTCAATTCTGGGTTCGATCCGAACCCGAACCGAATGCCCATTTTTACACCCCTAGAACGTATTAGAAATGATATTTTTATTGGATTTAGATGAAAATTTAACTCTTATTTGGACACAATAGAGAAAAAGGATTTATGTAGCTGACATTACAATGAGATAAAGACTTGGTATTGTTATTTGTATGCATGTCATCCAAATAACAAAAATGGTTTGCAATAGCACAAATAGAATTTATGATGTTAGAAAAGCTGACAATGTTATACATTGTCATATCTCATTTTCCTATATATTTAAAACAAATTATTGTTCTTTGAGAAGTTTTCTAGTATGATGGGCCACCATGTGGTCCAACTATTATATTAAAAAATATTAAATTAATGAACTAAATAGTAAATATTGACATCTAACACGTTATTCTTACAATATTTATGTTTATAAGTATCTTATATGGTCACGGCTAGCTTAGGGTTGTCCTCGATTCTTAAGATCTATAAAAAGAAGCATCTTGAGATTTAGCTGCAATTAGGAAACAAGAATCAATGGTCTGAGCTCTTTAAACCCTAAGCTATAACATGAGGAAGTATATTCTTGATTTTTGTGCATTTGTACGTGAACAAGTGGACAATACCTTCTCAAGCTTGTAAAATAGACCGTCTATATTTCTTGCCCCATTGCAGAGTAGCTTGCAATACAAAATTCTCAAGCAAACCCTGATTTCAAGGAAATATATATATTTTTAAATTCTTGATACTAATTTCTTACTAATCATTTATAACTTTGTTCAGTACTTGTTAATACTCGTCAGTAAGGGGCAATCCTAACTCCAGTGACTATTCTAGCTCCTCACATAAGCAGTGGAAGATAAATCTAATAATTTTAAAATCAATTTACTCGGTTTGCATTCTAGCATTTAAAAAGTTTTAATTATTGAAAGATAGTACTTATACACATCGTAAAATCCTTGCCCTATGCTCTAGATTGATGTGTTTAATGGTTGGAATTCATTATGGATCTTTCATTTAGATTTTAAATTGCATTATCTGAATGAATTAAGAGAATAAAAGGTTAGCTTCATTTTTTTGTATTTTAACTTCTATTTCCTTGCCTCTAATTTAAGTTACATGTTTCATCTTTGGCAATCTTTAATTGTGGTCATATGCTGAATGATAAGCATCGTAAGGCTGTTTTATATGCTGCTTACTGCTTCTATTTTGTAGAAAAGTTGTTAGGGCTATTATAGTGTAATTTATTTACTATGTCACTTACATTTTAATTAATTTACATTATTTAGTTCTTGTTGATTTCATGTATCATACTGAATTTTTCGGATAGATGTCCTTTTTTATTTGATAAAACATATGAATCATCGAGTTGTCATTTGAATATATACTTATATACTCTATCCTCGGATTTTTTTTTTTTGCTTTATGCAGCCAGCAAAGTGTTGTTTCGTCCCAGCTTTGTTAGGACATGCCACTGATGATGACTTTATACAGCCACATCATTCAGACCGTATACATGATGCTTATGCTGTAAATTTCTCCAGCCCTTCTCTTGTTTTAAACTTTTGTGTGTTTTTTTCCTTTTGTATTTCTTCATTTATTTTTTTTTTTAATTTTAGGTTCATTGGTTATTCTTTTGAACATTTAAACCATTATTAGGTTGTTAACTATCTTTGTTAAGGTTTAATTATTAATGAGTAGTGGATTGTAATTAGATGTTTGTTATTTTGTTAAGGTTCAAGTTTTACAACAAGGAACTAAAATTGTGACATAGTGAAAATATACTTGAGTTGTTTTATCGAATTGTTTAATTATCTCAAACGATCTTTAAAATAGACCTAGGAATTCTCATTATGAAGTGAAGGATCATAAGATTCTGGCACATGCTGCTTAACTGGACAAGGTTCTAAAATTTATGGGACCAGAGGAACATTTGGAACCTATGTAGTCAATTGCATATGATTGGAAGAAATAGCTTTATTTGTAGAGGATACTTCTTAAATCTTTAATAATGATGAAGAAAAGTTTCATCATAATTACAAAAATAAGAAGATTTTTGTGATCTAGAATGATAACCATCAACATAATCATAATTGTTAATATGTTCTAAAATTCTTATTATGATAATAAGAATCATAATCATTGTCATTTTTGTATGAATGAAGATAGTTGAAAGAAGAAGATTGACATACATTAGTACAACCTTCTAGAGATTGAAATTGAGGATTCTAAAGATGGTGCTTAAATATGTTGATAAATCTATTGTTTATGGTGATATGGTGCCAATGAAACTTGAGCAATGAAGAGGCGTGATATAGTTTATGTTGATTAGTGGTAACATGTGAAGAAGCTATTATACTTGGTGTTGAGTGTGGCAAGGAGATTTGGCATCACTATATATAAGTGGTATTGATGTAGCATAAAGTCGTTTTGAATGCATAGTGAACAAGAAGTGATTGTGAAGCCTAGATGGGCATGTGAATATGTGGTACATTATAAGTTATAGGCGAGGGTCTTTGTGTAGAAGAGGAATCATAGAGAATCAAGGTGAGGAATCACCATGAGAGATTTACATATAGGGAGGCTATGATGTAGATGTGGGATGCTAAACGTGAATGGGTGTGGAGTGATGCTGGAAGTCGGGTTATGCATTTGGGATTTGAGGCGAAATCATCAATTAAACACCTGTGATTGCATGTGAAGTCGGTAGGTTATGGGAAGGAGATGATTGTGGTTACATAGCTGATGCAAGTCAGGTTTACAAGAATAGACATATTATCCTTGTTGATAAATTGGATTGTACATGAATGTCTAATTATTCAAGTTGTTGGGGTCTGATGGTCAAAAAAGAGATTGAATCTTGTTCTGATATCAAAATTAATGGATGGAAGAAGGAACTTCATGTACGATTTGGAGTGATTCATGTATAGAACTTAGATCTAGAAATTGCATTCAATTGGCCTCACAAAATAAATTTCATTTATCAATATATTTATCTAATTACATCCCGTTATTATTTATAAAAATAGGATTACAAGGAAAAATTCAATTTTTAAATTTAAAAATAATTATAAAGAATAATTTAACTCTACACTTATTACCATCCAAATCATGAAATTTTGGATAAAATAAAACATGCATAAAAGGTCGTGAAATCTGGCTCTACCGTGCTCCTTTGTTGCTTGATTTGTCTCCTTTTGATTGACCTATGACAATCTTGTTATTTTTGGGTTGAACTAGTTAATTGTATTGCATCAAGATTGCTTCTGTTATTGTTTCTTGGATTATACATTCTCTTCATAAAAAAGGATCATTATAAGATTTTTATTTATGATAAATACAATTATTTGCGAAGAATTCTCCCCCTCTTAAGGTGTGTCTGATTGCTCTCTCTCTCTCTCTCTCTCTCTCTCTTTCTCTGAGCAGATTTCTTTCACTTCTTCCAGTATTTTCATTGCTTATAACAATTTTTTTTCTTTTTTTATTAATCAAACTGTTCAATCACGACCATCATCTCATCACCTGCACTACTTGATATATTTGTATTATTTCTACTAGGGTAATTTCACAAGTTGCTGAGAAATTGGGTCATCCCATCTTTCATAATGGTGAAGATTGATCCACTTATTACTTGAGACTTTAAAGACTTATGCCCTTTTGTTGATAAATGTATTAGTGGTTTTATTTTTTGAATGTGCAAAGAGACGAATCATTTATGCTGAAATTGTTTTACCTTACCTCTGTGACTATAATTCTGAGAAACTCTGGTGCTACCACCCGTAATATGATGTTATAAATTGTAACATGGCAGGCCGTAATTTGGTAGCCTTTTCTCTTCGCTTTTCATTTATTTTGAGATTTGGTTTTCATTGGGCACACTTCTAAGCCAAATCAATGGTTTTGTCGCTAAGAAATGGCAAAATGTTTGTTTTTATTAGTTGCAAGGACATGATATTTAGGAGAGAAAAATGATCTTTTGATTTTTTATTGGAAAATATGGCATAATGATAATATTGATATCATTTACTATTTTGTTTGTGCCTTGATATTGATTTAATTTATTATTATTATTTCTTTTTCTTGAAACCCTTAAATGTTATTTCTCATCATTGATTTTTTTTTGTAGCCTGTTTGATAAGTGGTTATGTGGGTATATTATTGTGGTGTTGTTAACATTGGTGCATGAATAAATGTACAAAATTGTAGGGTGACAAGAACATTATCAAGTTTGATGGTGATCACAACTCCCCGCGTCCACAATTCTACTTTGATTCAATTACAATTTTTTTCCATAATGTTCTAAGTCCTCCAAAGTATGTTCCTGATGAGCACTACCTTCATACTATGCATGACTATTTTGATCAGGTAAAGTGTAGTTCAAGATATATGTTTTTTGTTTGAACTGCTTTTTTTTAATAACCATATCTTGAGGTTGATCTTTTTTCTTGACGTGATCTTTTCTGCAGGATAACTGGGATACTATCAATGACATAGAATATAGAAATCACAGACTTATAGAACCTGCTCCAGGCAAATACTTTTGAACCTTGTGCCACCTTAATGTGTCGTTTTTGAGAGAGAATATTGAGCTAGAACTAAACTGCAATTTAATAACATTCTGATTGATTTCTGTTAGGACTCACAACTAGCAGTACAGAGGATGCTATTTCTCAACTTCGTTCCAGAAGACCAATGAGTCGGATGGAGGTTGTTATTTCTTATATTTTCTGAAAGCATTGATTCGTAGATGTTCATTTACAATGTCGGACTTAAAACTAATTTACATTTAACATTTTTTGCCCTTTGGGGTTCATTCTAAAATTCCTATCTGAAAAAAGCAAGGTAATATTTTCCTATGAAGGGGAAAAAAATAACTAACCAATTACTTGTACAATGTGATAAATAAATATCAGTCAACTCTGTCAAGTTGTTTTGATAATGGTTCAACTGAGAATGAATAAAACTTGAAAGTTATCTCACTCTATCTTGTTTAAATAATCTTTGAAGGTGCATTTTTCAGAAGGCCACTAGCCACTAAAGGTCAAATGATTGAAATTTTTATGTTTGATATGTATTGTTTTTCTAAATGCATGTTCATGAGAAGAAACAATTCTAAGTTTCTAGAACTGATAAAAAAAATCTTCGATGAACTGCTCTTGCCACAAAAGTTTAAAAGTTCTTGTGATTGTTATTTTTCTTTTGCTATCTTAAAGAATATTATGTATACCGTGATATCCTCAAGGAATGCAATTAATAAAATAATTTTTATTTATTTATTTATTAATGGCTATTCTCGATGATATTTGTTAAGCTTGCTATATGAGGTTTGATATTTTTGCCATTGCATGCTAGCTTAGGGCAAAAGAATATTTGCAGGTTTAGTTTACCCCTCTCAAAGGTAGTTGGCATGTGATTTTTCAAATTAAATTGTTGACATATGTTTTTATTACTACTTTCTATTGGCTCAAGTGTCATTCATGAAGCAAAATGAAGCCTTATTAGTTACGATATTTTGAAATTTACTGGACCATTTCTAAATCCTTTTTTGCAGGTTCCTTCTGATATTTCATGTTCAGAAAACATCCATGGGCCTGAGGTATCATATGAGCTTTGATTTATTCATTATTTTATGTTTGTTTCTATTCTTTTCACTTATTTACTATCCATTGAGTAGTTATATATTTTTTTAGTGTGAAACTACATTGCAATCATGTTTAGGTTCTTGTACGCAGTAGTACCAAATTTTTTGAACCTATATTTTTGTGGAATGAATGACATTTGTTCATTTAGTGATATTAATTATATGGTAATAATGATACTCGCACTTTTAAGGATGTGTTTTTTTTTTTCACGTAGCTCTCATTGTTCTGTTGGTTGGGAGCTTTGGTTACCAACTAAGAGGTTTTGGGTTCGGGTCTTATGTATGTGGTGTGTGTATGAGTTTGCCTTAATTGACCTAAATGTTCTCCCCCCTCAAAAAAATAAATAAATAAATAAATAAAAGGATGTGTTTTTTAAGGCAAACTGAATCCTGTACAACAACATCAAGCCTTTGTCCCATTATGTGGGGTCGGCTACATGAATCCTTTTTCGCCATTGTGCCCTGTTAAAAGTCAAATTCTCATTTAAATCTAATAAAGAAAATTCAGTAAAGGCACTCATCCACCTAAGCATCCTCATCTCTGCAACACTTAACTTAGTATTATGCTTCTCTTTTAATGGCCAACATTCGGCACCATAAAGCATTGCAGGTCTCACCACCATCTTATAGAAAATAAATATTCAAAATAAATATTCAAATGATTCTTGGATCAGATTTCACGTGAAAAAAAAGGAAAAATATATAGCAATAGCTTTTGTGCACGTTCAAGAAAAGCATTCCATAAAGACTTACATGGCATTTGTGCACGGTTTATCAAACCCTCAGCTTGCTTGTTCAATTTGCCTCCCTGTCTTCTGCCTCTCTTGATCTCCTCATCTTTGTCTTTTATTTTCTCTTCATCTGTTGATTTTTTGCTTTTTTTTTTCTCTTGCATTATAGCACGCTCAGTCTTCCTCATGGTCTTCCTCGTCCTTGCTGAGTGGCACATATGAATGTTAACAACAAAACTGTTTTCTCTCTTGATGGCATTACTTCCTCTCTCTCTCTCTCTCTCTCTCTCTCTCTCTCTCTCTCTCTCTCTCTCTCTCTCTCCCCCTTCTCTTTCTTGCAATTGTTAAAAGATGAAATCCTTTGTTTCCTCTCTCTCTTTTGTGTTGGCAGCAGATGGAACCCCGTGCATGATTTCCTTAGATCAAATACCTTTGTGTTTCTCACTCTCACAATGTTAAATGGCGAAACTAGCACAGTCAATTTAGTTAAATCGATAGTTGTTAGTTCTAGTTATATATATTCTCTGGGTTATTATATTAGGCACTAGTTTCCTCAATGTATATAAGTGTTTAATGCTATCATAGGTAATTTATTATTGGTATAATGTAACAAGAGTAGATGATGGATGCAAAGCTACAAGGTAGTTTTCATCATTATTAGCCCAAACATTATAATGAATATACACTGCCGCTGTATAATATTCATTATGAACTTCATTTAATTTTTCAATGTTAACAAATAGCTATTACGAATAAATTATAAATAATGCAACAAAATCAAAATAAGATGTGGAGGTGATGAAGACTTATAAGCTTTCTAGGGGAAGTATGATGGATAACTTTATTAAAAGTTGAGAACTGAGACGCCAAAGGAAGTCCAAGGAACTTCCCAACAATAATAACTAGCTCTATTGATAAAATAAGTATTTTAGGAAGGCAACTATTTCCTAAAAATACAATAAACTAAAATGAAATTTATTAAGATTTATTTGCCTTCGATGTCAATAGCATATTTGGGCCTGAACTTTTGTGAAGGAATCCATTAGTATAAAATACATAAATATATAGTTTTGATTCAACATTCTCATATCATTTCTCCTAATATTTGATGTATCTGTCAACATTGAATCTCATATGAAATCAATGTGATTATTATCGTACAAATCAAGCCTCCTAATAGATAATCTCATTAGAATTGGAGAATGAAGTTATAAGGTCATGTCTGAAGTCTATTTTTTATTCACACGAAGAGAGAAATGTGAGCTTACTGGCACAAGTGCACATTTAGGTTCAACTTAAATTGAAGTCCAAAAAGTGAAGGTTCAATGTTGAAGTGTTGAATCTTTTTCTAGATGCCTATCTTGTGCTCTGGAAGCTAATTGCTAGTCCTGATTAGATGGCGCCACCATCTTCTTTCTACCTCTCCAGTGACTTGATGGGTGTAAACTTCAATCTTATCTGTGCCATGCAACCCTTGAAGATGAAAATAAAAAGTGCTAATCGCCTTATTTTTAAAAATCAAATATTATTACACATTGTGTAAATTTTAATTTAAACTGAACCTTAATTAATATGTGCTGATTAACTTTATACCCGCTCTTTTGGACTTGTAGTTTGGCAGTTTGAAGTATGAAGCTTGTATGCAATTATCAGTTTTTTTTTTTAATAATTGCAGCAGGAAAATGGAGGTGAATCTGATCTTGGTCCAACTGCTAGACCGTATGCTGATGCCCTTCCAAATGGTCACACCAATAGCTGGCCTATTCCAGCCCGAACAGATGGTGAGTATGTGGAGTATTCTCTTGATGGCTTATCTGATATGCCAACCACTATTGAAGATGAAGAGAGGGTAGGTGGCTCATGTACGACTTTCACACATTTATGCTCTACTTGTCAAGTTTTGATTTGTATTATAACTCTATTTATTGTTGATGGCATAGTTGCTTGTCAATAGCCGTCTCTCATGCTAGATCCTTGTCCTTGTCCCTCATGCCTACTCTGATACAGTCCTTAGCAAGTTCAATATAAGATAAATTTTCCATCTTTTTACATAAGCAAGAAGACATTTTCACAATTTTTATTAATAGAAGTCCTTATTTTGAGTCTTTTGCATGATTATCATCCATTACCCTTCATTTTGATTCTTTTATTTTTTTGATAAACAATAACAATTGTATTACATTTCTGAACTTCGAATTACATCCCTAGAAAGTAGATGCTTAAAAGATTGAATTGAATAATTTGTGTATAGTCTATGAACTGCACATCACTTTCTTGAAACATAACTCATTTACATTCCTAGGTGAGCCGTGAAAAAATTTGATGTACTTGAATCTAGGATGCACATATATGAATGTGGAAATACGGACATGAGACAAGTCTATTGTTGAAAATATAGGACACGGATATGCATTAGAAACAACATTCATTTTTAATATTTTTAAAATTAAAAATAATGCATAGAAATTAAACAAAATAAAGAGAATAAATTGAGAGAGTTATAGCAGTGCTCATTATTTTCTTTTTGCACATTGCACAATACACAAAGATATATATATAAAATATCGAATAATACAATTTAAACAAATAATAGTTAAAATTATAGCATGAAAATTGAAATTGCATATTAGTGAATTTTTTTTTTTATTAATGTTGTTTCGTTTGTAATTAAAGAATAGTTATTTGGAGTATTCATTTGTTTTCTCTTTGACTACTTCATGTTTATTTGGAGGACCTCGGGCTTCGACATCGAGAGAAGAGGATGTCAATCATTGCCTCGTTAGGCTTTGGGGTTGGCTTTTGCATTGAGGGAGGAAAGGACTTTGGTCGTCGGAGTTTGAGTTGAGCTTTGGTATTGAGAGGGGAAAGGAAGTTGGGAATCGAGCATGTGAGAGTCATGCTTTGGAAGCTAATGATTGGATGCATAAATCAGGCAATATCAACCAAGCACCAGTTGAACGTGTAAGAAAGGAATAGTTTGGGTGGAAAGATTTGCAAGAGAAGTGTTGGAGGGAGAAATGAAAAATAAATAAGTGAGATTTTTAATTAAATTTTTATGACAGGAGTGTCGGACATGTCTGCTTTTTATTATTTTTTTAATTGGACACATGACAGCTATATTTGACACATGTAGGATAGATGTCGAGCATGTGTCAATATCCAACATATGTCGAACATTGCATATCATCTTAATATATAATGTCGGAGTATCATTGACTTGAATTAAAGGTACAAATATGTTCTAAAAATTATCATCATCAAAGTGAACCTTAAATAGTTGAGATAAATCTAAGGACGAGGAAGATGATGAATATCATGATAAGCTGCCAATAATTGCACCATAATCGGTCATCTTATAGTTCTTTAGCTTTCTGAATTGTATTGGGTCGTTTTTCATTTTGATTTGGAGTTCATGTCTTTGAATCACATAAATAACCTCCATGCAATAATATGTAGGTAAGCTGTATGCATGAACACGACATACTTGGAATTGATGATCTAGATACATGTGATGTTTAGCTTTTTCATTATTCTTGAAACTTTTTAATATGAACACATGCATTGATGTTGTCGGTGCTAATTGCAACTTGGTCTCTCTTTTTTCTATTTTTATGTGTTTTTGTTTCTGGTAAAGCTGTTGGACAGATGAAAATTTCCAGTCCGATAGCAGTTTTTATGCATTTGTCTTCCAAATTTGGAAAAAAGAATGCTGAAAAATCATAGAAACTGCACCGTTTTTTTTTTTTTTTTTCTGTTTTGTAAAGTAGGAAAAAAGCACCACCAAACAAAGCCTGATAAGAATGTCATTAAAGACAAACAGAGCTCAAGTAGAGATCTCTTTTATTTGAATGTATCCTTGAAAATTATAATTGAGGCGCTCATTCGTCACTACTTAGATCTCTTTTGTTTGTATTTATTATTGAAATGCATTCGTTTTTTAACTCAATGCAGATGATTATGGAAGCAATAATTGAGTCCTTAAAAGATTTGAAACAACAAGGGCAAACCCAGGAAGACGAGCAATGCTCTGGGAGTTCCTCATTATTCGTTCCTCCAGCTTCTATTCCAGCATCAAATGAACTGTCAGATGCTGAGGGCTCCAGTTCCGCCATTACAAACATCAAAACATCTACAGAACCTGCTTTGGAGATGACAGAATCCGGCGAGACCGAGCCATTAATCTCTGAGAAATGTGCCTGTTCAAAGGACATTTCCGGCGATGATAAGAGTTCTGCAGGTGGAAGTAGCTCAGGCCAAGACACTGAGATGGCAGCTGGTACGCGGGCCACCTTGGTGGTGCAAAAGAATCCAACAAACCCGGCAAGCAATGTCATGGAAGGATTGGCCCAACGGTGGGGTAATCTATTCAGAAACAGTAGATAATACCTGCTGATTTTGTCAAAGTTTTATTAATTGCTTACGTTCTTGGTGACATTTTTTCTTCTTGTCGGAGTCTTTTGAAGTCTGAGGCGCTGCTTTTGCTGCAAATTCTTGATGTCGCGTGTGTTTTTTGTAAAGGAAAAAAAGATGGGGTCCGTTTTTTTTTTTTTTTTTTTTTGTATATATACCATAGCCATTATTGGGTGCTTGACATGTTTTGAGTTTTCTGGTATCGCTTGAATTTCTGAACGTCTGGAATCCAAGTCCTTGATTCATCCCATCCTATCTTGTGTGCGGATTTGGATCACAGTAAACTGTTGTATGGTTGTACTTCCGTTCATCAACATGCATATATGATGAAATAATTCGGTGTATCGCATGAACTACGTGTGTAGAGTAACGAAGTACATAGCTTATACTCATGACTGTTATCTGCTTCTAATAATTTTTTTCATGTGATGTGGATTATCAAGCTGGAATATTCGGCTATCGCACATTGGGAAGCATGCTTCGACAGACATGCAATGATGATAATGTATATCAATAGCGGTTAAATAGTGGATTGTTCCTCCTGAATATCTCAAAGAAAGCTTCTTTGTAGTCTTTGTAGGAGGCTTTAACTTGACTTCAATAAGAAAGAGCTTCACACAACGGCCTTCTGTAGGATGATTTTCCTGCTCCCCACTCTTCTATAATATACTATGTATCTTTTTTTATGGTACACACTAAGGCTAAGTAAGACAATAGTATATAGTAATATAGAAATAAAAAATTTTGGAAGCTCATTTCAAGCCGGGTTTCTAAGTTATAGTGATTTATTTTTTTGATAGAAGCTCGAGAAGCAGCACAATACTAGCGAAGTATTCTCCTGAAAGAAAAAAAAAACTATCATACTCTAGATCGGAATCATGGAGAAGTATTGCTTGATCATTTCTAACAATTTAAACCTTTTATGAATCGTTTTATGCAAAAAAAAAAAAAATTTTTTTTTTTTTGATACATTACATTATTTCCATTACTCATCTTTTGCGTATTTTGGTGTTTCTAATTGCCCACTTCTTTTTTATAGATACCCAGTATAGTTATAAATATAGTTGATCTTTTGCACCCACTTTAAGATAGGAAGACTAATAAAAGAATCTCAATTTTGTATGTTTTAAAAAGTATTGGAATTTTGATTGTTATTCTTAGTATTATTAGTATTTGAAAACATCTTCTTATAATCAAAAGAAAAATCATTGTATTTTGATTTGTTTCATCAATTTCTTTTTGTTCTTGATTTATTTCATTGTTGTAAATGGATTTATTAAATATCTTATTTGTCAAAGAAAAGTTGTGCATTTATCTTAGAAATGGTGGTACATAGCAATCACTTGCTTATCAAAGAAATCAAATTTCGCACTATATACTCTCCTGTTTGTTAGCATAAATCTATGTTTTAGCATTCATCTAAATCTTTCAGTTATATTCATATGGTACTTCCTCACATTTGGTAGATTATAATTTCCTATAATATTATTATATGTAGGTCCTTTATATTTTTTATAATCGTATAGGTTGGCAAGGGGGCCTATGGACGAAGTGGTGGGGTATCGGGATTTTCCAATAATTTGGCACAATGTGTTCCACTTGGCACATGAATTTCAGAGAATTATCATTAGAATATATATATATATATATATATATATATATATATTGACATTTAGATCAATTAAGATAAATTTGTACATATGATATATGCAAAATTTAAATTCAATACCTTTTAGTTAATATTTTTTTTTCTGCGTGCATTTTCAATGTGACGCATTGAGAAACTCCTTCCTCCTACCTGGCAAAAATATCATATTCTTATATGTCTTAACAAGGAATGCATCTGACGTATGATGTCATTTTTGGTAAAGAATATAATGACATATATTGGCCGTTAGGTTCTCCTCAATAACTTCAATCTTCATGCCTTCCTATTTCAGCATATATTGTCTTCATAATGTTAATTAGCAGTGTCAGGATTCCTACCATTTCCATAACACTCCTTTGTAGAAATTTCCAACCTGCCTTGTTCAAACATGCTCCATCCCTGTAAGAGGGAATCATCATAACTACACCGTGTGTGTCCCATAATATGTAGTCTTTTATGTCTAACCAAGAAGGATCCGGCCATCTTCTCTAATGCATCATCAGTGGAATGCGCTAAACATTCCTTTAATTTAGTGCTTCCCTCCATAATCAAGCTTTTCAAAGATTTTTTTTCTTTCTAATACATTGCACAAGAAAATAAAACAACCACAGGAAGATATGTAGAAGAAGTGGAGAATGTAGGGAACCAGCTACGTATATTAATTTATAGGCGATGTCCATCAGGTTCCATGATCAATTATGAGTTAGTAAGAAAATAATGAATACCTTTATTTGACATTAATAATAGATTTGACAATACAAATTTATTATATCGAAATATATAGGATAGGCTGATTTGAATATGCTGAGTTAAGACACTAGTTGATTTGACATTACATCTTAATTTGACACCACAGGCTGATTTGACCACACTTGCTGAGTTGAGAATAGTAATTGATTTGATAATATATCCTGATATTACAACACAGGCTGATTTGACAAAATATGCTGAGTTGATAACACTAGGTAATTTAACAATACATCATGATTTGACAAGACATGTTGATTTGAGAACACATGCTAATTTCATAATGGATGATGATTATTATTATGTACCATAATTATTTTGTAACTGATTTTCTTACAAATTTGAATGATTTGCTTAATTTAATATTCTTTTGTGTAACTAAAATTCTTATTAAATGTTATAAATCATATAATATTATTTAGTTTTAATTAAATTTTCTTTTTGCATTTAGTTTATTTTCTTCTATAATATTTAAATTTTAAAAAATTATATTTTAGAATATTAGATTTCTTATATAATGAATAACATATTAATAAGTTATAAATTCAAAATGAACATATCAGTGAAAATAGGAAACAGAGAATAAGTGAAATTACTTTTATTAGTGTAATATGGTTTCTTAAGAAAACAAGTTTATTTTCAAGTAATAGGAAAAATTAAGATTTTATATGACTATTCATATTAATGTTGACATTACGCAAATATTGTGATTACAATTTGAAAAAAAAAATTGATTACAGATATGGAAGATTAGGGTGGCCGATCTCACCATCTTCATCGAGCTTAAAAAGCGTCAGAACCTTAGCCTCATGTAGCAGAAGATACTGACATTTCGAGCATCACTGCATTAGGCGATACCCATAAAGAAGCTGCTTTGGATAAGGTATAAATTATTATTTCAGTTATATGCGTGCTCTTACTTATGGTTTATGAGATGATAATAATTTAATTTAAATTCATAGGCTTCAGTGTTACTAAGGGATGCACACCTACACATGACACGAGAGTGTTTGATTGTATGCTGAAGATTTATTTATGGATTACATGTCATAAGAATGGATCTTATCTGGCACATACTTTATGTTAGAATGGACCATTATCTGATCACTGCGCTTGTTGCCCATGATTGGATGATTCCTCATGCTAGACTGCTCAGACTCTCATGTCTTGTTATAGTACCTACCACTTATGAAAGATTTGATGCAGTTCAGTATGATGTCACTGGGCAGTTCATGTGATGCCCCAAGATCTAACTTGGAAAGAATGTCAATCAATTTTCCAAACAATTTACCAGAGTTATCTAAAACCTTCAATTAAGCAGTCTATCAAACATCTATAAAATTTAAAACATCAATATACAAGTCAATTCATATCTCAAAAGTCATGTACAATACTCAGGAACTACACTACAATCACCAGTACTGAAATCTATCCTGAGTACAAAACATCACCCTATAAGATGTGCAGGTATTGCTCGGACTTAAGGTGGATGGGGATGCCATGGTTGGGCCACCTGTTGTGGGACATAGTCTACGATGGGAGACCTAGCATGATTATTATGATGAGTTGCTCGGTGCTCCCCCATATCTAGAGGTTGTATACCACCATCACACATATCATAATATCTAGGCTACATTTGGTATGGGGCATTCGCATATCAACTAGATGATACAACCGCACTAGTTGTTATGAACCTTCTACAAAGAGTCATATGATGAATTGGATGCTAATGTGTTCATGCAGCATATTAAAGCATATATTTTATACATGATTGGATGATTCCTCATGCTAGACTGCTCAGACTCTCATGTCTTGTTATAGTACCTACCACTTATGAAAGATTTGATGCAGTTAAGTACGATGTCACTGGGCAGTTCAGTCCTCTCAAACATGTATAGAGAACTATCTTTGGGGATGAAGCCCACAAGATTACATTTTTTTTGGATGTTTGGCATTACTTTAGGTTTGGTCGTGGGAGAAACTACATCTTGGTAGACTAATACTTCGAGGGCCCGCTTTCCTCGATATTATTGGAAAACATCTTGGTTACAGGCATAATTTCTTGTTATATTAAAGTGAATCACATGTCATTATATATTCATTTGTTATAACATATCAGCATCATTTTACATACATGTGGGGGGAGGATCGTTTGCGATAGGTCACAAATGGGAACTTATTAATTTATCGGGAAGAGCTAGATTTTTAAATTGAATAAGAAACTCATTCGACCAAACATTATTTGAACAGGTCCCAATGATACAATATAGTGATGAACTTCTTGCGAGGCTACCTCCTATATACCAGGAGTCCTCAGAGATATACAGGGCACGGGTGCCATTGAATTATTGGAGATGGGTTGAGTGGCACATGGTTGATCGGGTGATGCACCAATTTAGGGGTATTCAATCCACAGATATACAACCCATTGAAAGGACCTTCAAGCGAGTTGATGGCCGTGGCAGAGTTGATGTTGATTGGACAAAGTATCATATGGATTACATTTCTCTGTATAATAATAAGCGCGAACATATCATTTCAATTATTCCACCTGAGAGAAATAGAAGATAGGAGTTATCTATATACATGAGATGGTATCGGTCGTGGGCTTCCCTATATATATTGAATATTCCACAACAACCTCCACAGACATTCTACCTGAGGTCATCAGGAGAGCGATTGATGGTAAGTATGTTTGATTCATATACTCAATTTATTTATTTACTCATGTTTTGTACTAATATTGCACTGCCAAAAAAATAAGCTGATTGCATCAAGCATAACAAATGTATCACTCACAGATTCACTGATTATCATGGTGAAAGTGTAAGAACTATATAGTAGACACATGATGATTGTGATGAGTTGTACTCCATGCTAGAGGTTTCATAATTTATTTACTATAATTTTCTTGATTCTGGTGAGGAGCATGAGAGAAAATAGTCCAACAAAGCTCATGATAAGGATCATATGTCAAGGCAGTCAAATCAGATGCTCCACCCATGATGATGGGAGAGAGCAGCCATGCAAGAAAGACATATGAACCAGTAAGATAGTCAATATATGTTGGGTATGGAGACTTTGTTGTGTCATCACAATTTGCTGCAGGACTTCCTAGCATGATGAGGGTGGCAAGGTTTGTCAGAGGCAGGACCATTAAGATAATATTGGAATTAATATGATTTTTATTTAGGTAGTAGTGCTCCTGCACACCAGATAGATACACTAGCATCACAACAAAAGTCGCTATACACATCTGATTTACAGATCCCCGCATGGATGAATCTATTCGGACTGCCCCACTCTCCTACACATCAGGATAAGCTCCTACACCATACTCAACATACACAAATCACTGCAGACTTGGGTGAACAAAGTAGAGATACTATTGAGACCCAATTATATCTTAGGAGAAACCGACCACCTGATAAGTACACACCGGGTAGTACAGCCATCCCTAAACATAAGAAGTAGTAGGGTAGAAGATTAATATCATGTTTATAATGGTGTTGTAATCAGATCACTCTTCTTATTTTTGTGATATGAACTTATATTTTATTTTTTGTTAATTGAGTAGCATAATATGATGAAAATTCAATATATTTTTAAATAATACTTTTTTAATTGTTATATTTGAATATTGAATTAATTTTTCTTAGATTACTGCTTAAAAGACTAAAATAATATATGAACTAATGATCAGAAAATATAAACTAAAGAATCATAACTGCTCATCTGAAATATATAATTTTTTTAATGAAGAAGCGCATGAAATGGATTACATAATAAATTAAAATACATAGACACGCTAATTCATACTAAATTAAAAAAAAAAAAAACTTTGGTCCAGAAAATATAAAAGAAGGTGATGAAGATAACATTTAGATAATAAAACATATGTACTAATTCCTAAGTAGCACATGCATATGTGATTGGAGCTATGTTCGTGTTGGACAACATTTCATATCGACGTCGAACTCATATTGCAGGTCTTGCTAGTCCTCAACATTAAAGAACTATCTAGGCTAACCATTAGGTAATACCTCATTCATCTGATCTTTATAAAAAATTCATAATGAACTGATCAAATCTCGAACACCAACTACGATATAAAATGACTTGCTGAATATCAAGGTGATTACGATCAATATCTGGCGGTGAATGATCGCCATCTCGGTGGCATTTCATCTCATGGTATCACATCTGTAAGTAATGAGGGCTGATAAGGTGACCATTCATCTCGCCGAACCTAATTTGAAGAGATTTCCAATTGGCGACATTTAAAAAAATCTTTTGTCTTGTAAAATTTGACCTGGTCAACTCAGCATGCATATTCCAGAGGAAATCTTCTTCATCTTCTGACCATTCATGGACGCAATACCTAAAGATCTCATTTGCATTCACCTTTTGCTCCAATGGAGTGTCACTGACTTGTGCTATACAAGTATGAATCCTTCGACTTGCATCATCAAATCTCAGTGGCGGAGCTAGAAATTTTATTCAGGGGGGTCTAAATTAAAATAGTTATGTTTGTCATCTCATTATCGGTGTCAAGAGAGCTATAAGATTAAAATTAAAAAAAGCAAATAACATGGTCCTTAGAACTTAGAAGGCATAAATATCTGCCATGTGTAGGGGTACAACCGAGTCAAGCCGGCTCGCGAGCTGGCTTGGGCTCGACGAGTCGAACTCAAACACGAGTTCTAGCTCAACGACTAATCGAGATCGAGCTCGAACACTTGACTGCTCGACTCGATAGCTCGTCGAGTAGCCCGAACACGAGAGCGGGAGCGGACTTCGCCGTCAGAGCGGCCGGGTCGGGGTTGCAAGCTTCGCTACAAGAGCGGGAGTGTGAACGGGCTTCGCCAGGAAAGCGGGATGCGGCAGTGGGCTTCACTGCGAGAGCAAGAGGGGGCTTTGCCGTGAGAGTAATTAATTAGATCATTAGCATTGCAAAAATAATTAAATAATTGTGTAATAATTTAATATTTAATAATTATTATTAGATAATAAATAGTTAATTAACTGATTAATTTGGTAATAAAATCATATTTAAATACTTAAATATTTTAAATAATAATTAATAAAATACCACAACAACTATGGATCAAAATCTCTTTTCATTATTCCATTCACAAAAGTCATTCCTCTATCCCTCTTTCTCTCTCTCTCTCTCAATATTTTATCCCATAAGTCTTTCTCTCTCTATACCTGAAGCATTGCATTGGCTAGGTAGAAGGTGGATTGAAAATGCATGATATCTACGTTCGCGACAGCGTATGAGATGGGTGGGGTGCTACTGTCAAGTTTTTATTTTTTTTCTGACGAAATTTAGTTAGAATATTTCAGTTTGATTAGTAATATATTAAAAGATTGATGTATATATTTTTTACTAATGATATCAAATAAATATAATAAAATATTAATATATTAAAGCTTTAAATTACCTTATTAAAATTTGATGAGAATAGCTTAACTTAAATTTCTAAATTCATTAATATTGATATATCATCAAAAAATTATCCTGATCTGGCACGAATCTCGTTGCAAAATCAAGTTGGAAACTTCTGAAATTAAAATTGGGATCATCCGAGCTCCAATTTCAGCAACTTACAGTCGAACTGAGCGTCTCAGAAATACAAACCCAACGACACCAAATTCGACTCAATCCGAGCCCAAATGAGTCCAAATCAAGGATCTGAAACACTATTAGAAGGTTTGAACCATTATTGGAAGATCACTGAATTCTGATATCACTAAGGCATACAAATGTCCATCAAACGGTCCATGATCAAGGGATTCAACATCGGCCGTCCATCCAACCATTACCCATTGGAAGATCACTGAATTCTGATATCACTAAGGCATACAAATGTCCATCAATCGGTCCATGATCAAGGGATTCAACATCGGCCGTCCATCCAACCATTACCCATTTACCCTTGATCTCTCACCTATTTACGAGTCATGTCACTCCAGAAATCTATAAATAGACCCCTCATTTCTCTTGAAAGGGGACCCAAGCAAGAAAAATAAGAGAGGAAGGAAAAGAGAATAGAAGAATGATAGGAGGGAAGAAACTCCTCCTCGACTACCGCCCGGAATTCTGCCTGACTTCCAAGTGGCGCCGGAATTCTGCCCGACTTCCAAATGACTATGGAATTCCGCCCGACTTCCATGAGATGCTGGAATTCTGCCCAAGTGATGTCAAAGTTCTGTCTAACTTTCAAGTGACGCCGGAGTTCCACCCGATCTCCAAATGACGCCGGAATTCTGTCTAATCTCCAAATGACTCTGGAGTTTTGCCCGAATACCATCTAACGTCGGAGTTCTCCCCGGCCACCGACTGACGTCGGACTTCTACCTAACGTTGGACCTCCGCTGGTTGCCAGATTTCTGCCCAATACCGGACTTCTGTCGGTTGTCAGATTTTTGCCATACATCTATCTGATGTTAGATTTCTGCCCATTGTTGGACTTTTACCTGACACAGTCCTTCCGACCAACGTAGCTCGCCGACTACGGTCCTTCTGGCTTACGTCGTCCACCGACTAAAGTCCTTCTGACCTCCATCGCCCACCAACTACGGTCCTTCTGGCTTACGTCGTCCACCGACTACAGCCTTCTAACCTCCATCGCCCGCCAACTACGGTCCTTCTAACTTACGTCGTTCATCGACTACAGTCCTTCTAACCTCAATCGCCCGCCGACTACGATCCTTCTGATTTACGTCGTCCATCAACTACAGTCCTTCCGACCTCTGTCGCCGGCCGACTACAGTCATTCTGACTTATGTCGCCCACCGACTACAGTCTTTCCGACCAAACAAACACATCAACAGTGATACTTTGTATTTCCATCATGTATTTCATATAATACACATCAAGCCAAAGACCTTCCCCATAAGGAAGGGCCTCAATTGTAATCGACTGCAAATAATAGTGGATTCATTCAAACTGGACTAAGCCCTGTAGTTTTTCCACTTTTTAGGGGTTTTTCACATAAAAATCTTGGTGTCTCTAATAAATGCTACACTCTCTCTTATCTAATTGTGTGCCAAATTTTCGTACAACGCTAAGACGCTAAACTTATATTTCTCTACCGCCGCGAATATCCTAAGACGCAACAAATACTAATAAAAAATAAATTCAGATAAAAAAAATATTTATAAAAAATCAAATAAATTCAACAATCCTCCATTTATTTTACTTCCAAACACTCCGTTCAATTACAATCTCAAAAAAAAAAAAAATGTAAATATAATAATAAAAAATTATGAAGAACAAATGTAAATATAATATACATATTCACAGAATCCATCAAGTTTCTGAGTTTCTACCCAAAAGGTCCAGCGCTGTGTCTACCAAAGAGGAAATCGTTACCTCATGGCGGCCCAATCCCACGCTCCCTGAGAAGACATTGAAGCACTCCAATTCCGATGTAGTGTCAGCGACTCGCATCAGAACTTGCTCCATTCCCGAATCCCTGAACAATTCAATGTACTTGTCCTCATATTCCATCAGAGTTGCAGCGAGTCCGATCACAAATCTCCTCATTCTGGGAACCTTGCTCTCTGGATTCTCGTATCTTCGCAGAATCTCCACCAGCTTTTCAACAAAGTTTTCATCTTTGATTCCAGCTCTTTCAATTTCATTCCTGCCATCTTCCGGATTTCCGAGTTTCAGTATTTGCAGAGCAAGTCCGATCGACACCTCCAAAAGCTTCTCCTTTTCATTCTCCTTCTCTTCCATTATCGTCTTCAATACCTATCCACAGTTTTTAATTTTTCAGTTTCGATCACATCGGCAGGTTAAGGAGCAATGAGAGATTAGAAGTGTATTACCATGGGCATTGCTTCTGCGATTATCTGGAGCCTGTCGGATCGCTCTGGGGCAGAGTAAGCGCAAAGGCCTCGCAATATCCTTGCTGCATTCACCCTCAGCGCCGGATCGCCGAGGGCGGCGACTAGCTTGGCAACCACATCGTCTCCCTCCCTCAGCATCCTCTCGCAGTTCCTCCTGCTCTCGAGTATCAGCATCGCCAATGCCTCTCCTGCCTCGTTACATACCACCCCCACCTCCTCCGTCACTATCGGCCGGAAAAATGCAGCAAGAATTAGCCGGATCATGCTCCCTGTCGCCCCTATCTTCTCTCTTGCTTCCTCATTCATGCCCAAACTGGTCAGTATCTCTACCCCTAGCATCTGAAGCTTCAGATGGCTCTCCCCGTATTGCAGTAGTTCCCTGATGTTACTCACCGAATACACAATCTCTGAGATATCTCTTCGCAGTATTTTACCCGTCTCCCCCGTTGCACAAACTAGAATCTTCATCACTTGCAACGCGCGGCGCACCGTCTTGACCCGTGACTCCGGCGCGCGATCATCGCGCAGCAGCGCCGAACCGGCGCTTGTTAGATCGATGATCCGCGCGAGCAGGCCCCGCGCATTCCCGATCTTAAAACAATTGTCATGATCCCTCGCCAGTCGCTTCAAAATTAAAAGCCCGAGCAGGTTGAAGGCGGAGAATTCATAGTTCTCCTTGTCGACCACGACCGCCCTCGGCGATGCTTCGTAGGGTCTCCCGTTCGTGCTTCCCCCGCCTGTCTGCAGCAGAGAAGCGATAGACTCCATGGCCCCCGGAATGGCAGCCACCCGTAGCGCTTGCTGCTTTTTTGAAGCCAGCTTCGACACGATTTCGGATGCCGAGCGCCGGATATCTTCTTCTGCCGGGTCTTTCCAGTTGAGCATCTCGATCAGTCGCTCGATGACTGGGGTGGAGCTTCCGATTTTGCGGAGCGTGTCTCCGGCGAACCGCTTGTTTTCGACGAACCGTTGGAGGATCCTTGCGCCAATGATCTGCTCATCGGGTGAGTCGGAATCGAGGAGCTCCTCGGCGAAGGAGACAAGGTCCATCTTCAAACCGTCGAAGATGCTGCCATCGATGCACTTCGAGTAGGCGTCGTAGAAAAAACGACGGAGAGAAACCATCCCGATAGGACCGAGGTCACAATCCTCGCATACCCGTTCGACCAATTTCCCTTGCTCGATTCTCCAAGTCCAATAGCCCTTTTCCAGGAGGAACATGAGGGCCTCAGCGAGCGCAAGACTGTAGAAGACATTGAGGGCAGATTTCTCATTTACCTGCGCATCATCACCGTAATCCTGCTGGCCTATTCGCATCAAGGAAAGTGCTGCACAGGCAGCTGCTGCAATGATTTGCAGCCAGTAGAGCAAAAGGCTGATGTTCTTCGAAACAAAAACCCAGTCGGAGTAAGGTAAGAGGGGGACGTCGGCGGGGAGCCAAGTTCGCTTTGGCTGTGATAAGGATGCTAACCCATTCAGTTGGTGCATGTTAAAGGCAAGCCGGCGGCTGGGCCGCGCAGCGAAAGATAGGGGCCGCATAGCAGCGCGAACAAGGCGGCGCGGCATGGAAAGATGGGATTGGATGCGGCGGCGGGAGGTGGCGGCGGGGAGGGTGCGTGTTGATAGATGTTGCCATTCGAGCTCACGGCTACGGCTAAAGAGGCGGGCAGCTTCGACGACAAGAATGGCTGTGACGAACCAGAAGTCTTTGGCTTTAAGAGCGGAGGCGAAGCCACCAAGGAGGACGACGGTGGCCCAAACAAAAGCTAGTTGACCGAGGCCGCACGCTGTCTTTTCAATGATGGCGAGGCGGAGGGCGAAGAGAGTCAGCTTCTTCTCCGGTGCATCGAGGGAGCTGTGGCGGGGGATGCTGCGGCTGCGGCCTGAGGGGGTCTGGTCACTGAGCTCGCGCTGCGGCTCAAAGACTGTGGAGCCCCAGCTGCCGCTGCCGCTGCCACTGCCGCTGTTGTTTCCTCCATTAGGGCGGCTTACTACCTCCAACTGGATGATGTTAGTGTTCTCAACATCCCCATCTTTCTTCTCCAGTAACCTCTCGCTCTTCATCTCTTTCTTTTTTCTTTCCTTTGATCAAACGTGGAAGCCATGATCAGCATATTTATGATGGTTGGAACAACTTGGAAGGGAAATTTAAGAAGCACTGAGTTGAGTTCTCGCAGGGGAAAATTAGTCGAAGAAGACGGGGAACAAGTCCTCGGTGGCAAGTGATGAGAAGGTAGAAACTTCATCAAACTTCAAAATACGTTTTTGTTTATTTAATTATTCAGTCATGTTGCTTGTGATCCTCTTCGGGTCATTTTCTCTGCATTGGCTTATTCTAAAAGACGTGGTTGGAACAGCCGGATTTGTTTATCTTCTTCTCGTGCCGTCTTGATTCCTTGAGTTGACTGCCTCCTTGCTTTCATTTTCTTGTCATTTTGGAGCTTAATCTACTCTCTTTTCCCCTCTTTTATTAGCTGAACGACTTGCATAATACCTTTAGCAGCTTTTCTAGATCTTGACCAGTAGAAGTTTGCCCGCGGTGATTTGTATTTTTTTTTTTTTTTTTTTTTTTTTTTTTTTTTTTGAGGTATTCAGGCCCAATTCACACACATCATCCATCACATACTTAAAATTCGAATTCAAAAACTTTAATTGATAGTCAAAGCTCCCAATTAACATAGTAAGATGAGCAGTATTGTCGTTGAAGTTTGTGGATAAGTAATTAACTCATTCTTTTAATAATTTAGGTGCATCATGTCTGCGTTTGATAGTCCGCATTGAAAAATTATTATGTGCGGACACTGGATAGTCCGGAAGCCAATCAGAACGTGTCATGTCATCATAGGCGGATCCACATTGGCCTAAGGGTGGGCAAATGCCCACCCTCAAATTTTTTTTTTTTAATATTTAGAGGGAATTTTTTAGAATATTTTGGTTATTTTGCACATTTTGCCCCCTCTAAAACAATTTTGTTGTCCTAATTTTATCAATCCTAAGCATCTTTGCCCATCCCTCAAAAAAAAAATTTGTTTTGCCCACCCTAAAAAAAGGAGCTGGATCCGCCCCTGCATGTCACCCGGTATATAGTAGTACCGAGTAAAAAATGATGTAATGTATTCTGATTGATCTTTAAACGTCGTCGAGAATCCGCACAGAATCATTTTGCCCGCGTTTGATGGTGTTTACTAATAGGTGTTGCAGAAATCATTATTTTTTTGTTAAGGTGACGGTGAGCGTAAATCACACATAGATTAAAATAAAAATATGAGATTTTATGTGATTTATAAATCTCTATTAGAAGCTTCTGGTCCCTCTTACTATCTGCTCTATATTCAGGTTATTTTTTTTTTATTTTTTTAATAAATAAATATTTTATTCTTTTAATATTCTTGATTAAAGTTTTATAATTGTTTAAATTCCAAGTCGTTTTTAGATGACTTAGACATGGCTGCAGGCATATTAAATGGTAGTTGGAACAGCTTGGAAGGGAAATTTAAAAAGGCACAAAATTGAATTTTTGCAAAGAAAATTTAGGGATTGTTTTGTTTTGGATAACTATATAGTGTTTTATAAGTCAGTTGTAAAGTTGATGTGGGGAAATAATTTTACTATTTTAATAGTAAAAAATACCTTTCATTCATAGAAATAAAAAAAAAAATTAAAATATATTTATAATTAATTAACTCTTATATAACATTTTCTATAACATTTATGAAAGTATATCTAACCATTTTAAAATTTATCATCAAACTTTCATTAAAATATTTTAATATATACATGTAGAGAGAGAGAATTTCAAATTGAATCTAATTTTATAAATAAATAGATAACGCTACTACAGGTGGATGGCAGCAATATGTAACATGTGAGGAAGAGTAGTGGGCTTAATTTGCCCACTTGTCCTGTGCTGGGGTTGACAAGTTAGATTAATATGAGTCGTACAAGCTACCATTAATGAGTTCTATATGCCTGTATTTATGGACTGAACCACAAGTAATTATTCGGAGATCAGAACATGTCACATCATCTGATACATAATTATATCGAGCACTAGTATCAAACAAAAAAAAAATAATATGATGTTTTCTGATTGATCTCCGGATGACGTCCAATATCCGCATAGAATAATTTCACCTAAATGACAATCCCACAAAAAAAAAAAAAAAACACTTTGCCAAATGCGTTTAACTAATCAGCTCATAGCTACATGTGCAAAGCAGGTTTTCATATATAATATAATAAAACATTCCCATAGATGTATTCGAATAAAACACTCGATATAGTACAATAAAATGAAATATTTAGTATAGCAACAAAAGATACTTCTTAACAGTTTATCTTTGCAAGCCAACATACTTGTTGAAATCTGCAATAGACGTTAACCTGCAGAAGAGAAAACAAAGAAACTTGTAGCTCTCTATATATTTACATGTAGCTCATGATTACACTGTAAAGTAAGTGGACACATGGACGGTACAGATTTGACCGTTAATGATCAATGGTGAGAAATCTTTGCACGATTAGGTCTAGGAAAACTACAGCACATGGAGGCATGATGAAAAGTGGAATGCTTAATACTTATAGGTTTGCTTAATATCTCCCCTCAAGCTAACCGGAGCTGCATAAATGGTTAGCTTGGTTCTCAACTGAGCAAACCGAGGAATAGAAAGAGATTTTTTAAATAAATCAGCTAACTGATCTTGAGTGTAAATATGACAAATTTTTAAGACTTGATTTTTAATGCAATCCCTAACAAAATGAAAATCAATTTTTATATGCTTAGTTCTAGCATGAAAAATGGGGTTGTTAGCCAGTGTTATAGCAGATATGTTATCGCAGAAAAGAACTGTAGGTTGAGAAATAGAGATATTGAACTCATGTAATAACCGACGAAGCTAGATGAGATCAGTGGCAGCGGTGGCAAGAGCACGATACTCGGCCTCAGTGGATGATCGAGCTACATTTTTCTGCTTCTTGACAAACCAAGAAATAAGAGTGTCTCCAAGAAACGTGCAATATCCAGAAGTAGATTTGCGATAAGTCAGATCACCAGCCCAATTGGAATCGGAGTAAGCAGTTACCTCAAGTAAGCCAGAAAAAATTGGAAGGCCGAATGATAAAGTGCATTTTATATAACGAAGAAGTCGTTTAAGTAGTTTGAAATCATCTACAAGCGGTTGATGCATATGTTGACATAACTTGTTAACTATATACGCAATGTCAGGACGAGTTATTGTTAAGTATTGCAAAGAGCCAACCAAATGTCGAAATTGGTCAACATCAATAGAAGCCAAAACACAGTCCGAAACAGAGAGAACTTTTGAAGGAATAGGAGATCCGATTGGTTTGCAATCCATCATTCCAGCACGGTTCAAAATATCAAGCGCATGGGTAGACTGTGATAAATGCAAGCCATCAGAAGTTGTAAGGATTTGCATACCCAAAAAGTAGGAAATTGACCCAAATTCTTCATGTGAAATTCAGCTGACAAACCTAGTAAAAGGTTTTCAGTCGTGGGGTCCTGATTCCCAGTCAATAATATATCATCTACATACACAAGGATGTATATAGTAACAGAATCCTTGCAATATAATAAAAGTGACGGATCAGCTGTACTATGAGTGAAGCCATAGTTTAAAATGTATGTTGAGAAAGTTTCAAACCACTTCCTGGGAGATTGCTTTAAATCATATATGAATTTTTGCAATAAGCAAACATGTTTAGGATATAAAGGGTCCACAAAACCTTGAGGTTGATTCATGAAACACTACAGAAAAACGCCAAAATCCGGCGGTTAGCCTAAATTAACCGGCGGTTTTTTCCGTTACCGGCGGCTTTACAGCGGTTTTTTTGCCGCCGGAAAAAATCGCGTAGGAAACTAGTACCGGTGGTTTTTTACCGGCGGTTTTCCGGCGGCGCCGACATCCGGTGTCAACCGGTTTTTTGACCGGCGGTTTTCCGGCCGTGACGCCGCCGGTTATTTGACCGACGGCCTACCGGCGGTCGTTTTACCGACGGTTCTCCGGCAGTTTAGTTTTTCATCGTTTGCTTTTAAAATCGCCGGCCTTCGCCGGTAGACCGCCGGTTATTTTACCGGCAATAGCCGGCGGTCTACCTGTCGGTATTACCGACGCTCAAAACCGTCGGATGTCCACTGCTGAACCGCCAGTGGCCGTCGGAAACCGCCGGTAATAAACCGGCGGTTTAATGCCATTACCGGCGGCTGATTATTGGCCGTCCGGTATCGTAGTTTCCGGCGGCCAAACCACCGGTTAGCCGCCGGAAACCTGTAGCACCTGCAAAAAAAATTGACAGCATCCCCTCTATTCGAGGGAGGTTCACCCTAAAGTCTAAACCTGTAGAAAGAGCAATATATGTTGGGCAACACGCCCCTATATTCATCACAATCATATGTTGGGCAACACGCCGCTATATTCATCACAATCATAAATTATAAATACAATCACAAGCTCATCATAACATTACAATCACAGTTCACAAGTAAGTTCATGATAATATTATAATCACAAGTTCTAATTAATACAATCATCAAACATAAAATAGATCTAATCATCATCTGTATCCTCACTGTCTGCAGATGGCTGCTCCTGTTGGTCCTTCTTCCTCTGTTTTTCAGCTCTGTAGGATTGCAACTCTGCTTGCATTTCATTCTGAACCTTTCTCATTTCTTCAATCTCTCTAGATTGAACCCTTTTCATCTCTCAATCTCTCTAGTAAGAAGAATTTGCCACTTGGAGGTCACAGCAACTTTGAGTAAAATTTGGATTGTAGGGAGCTTGGCCACCGGACCAAATGTATCTTCATAATCTAATCCATATTGTTGATGGCATCCTTGTGCAATAAGGTGAGCTTTATGACGGGCAATAGAACCATCCGAATTTAACTTAGTTTTGTAAATCCATTTGCAGCCCAAAACATTTTGATCAGGTGTAAAGGAATAAGCTTCCAAGTTCCTTGTTGTTGTAGAGCTTGCGAATTCTTGAGATATAGCCTTTCGCCAACAATTATTTTTAATAGCCTGAGAATAGCATGTAAGATCCAAGAGAATATTAGCATGACTCATACTAATAATATGCTGCGGTTTCAAATTACCAGTCCTCGATCTCGTAAGCATTGGATGATTATGAATTTCAAGAACTGAAGGATGTATTTAAGGAGCTAGCGGATGAGTCTCGGCCATATACTGGACTGAAGAAGATGGGAAATTTTCTGGAGTAGGTGGGAGAATTGTGGATGGATGTGATATTGATAAATCTGGGAACGTCGAGCGAACAGCATGTATAGAAGGAGCAGACACTTTAACCATAGTGGGAACTAAAGTCAAAGGAAGAGGATATGTAGATGTTTTTGCTGGAACAAGA